GGTCATCACGCAAACATTATAAAAAGCGTACTCGAAAAATGTAGATAAGTACACAAAAAAGGTCACTTTCTATCATTACGATTGAATTTATATCTTATATATGCGTTACAATGATCCACTCTCTCACCTGAGACCTTTTTCGTTTTCTGTTTCCTTTTTTTCTCCATAACTTTAAAACATACTGAATCTACTACCAATTAATAGACTATATCTATTCCGTCTATTTAAGATCATCTACTTGTTTATACGATGTTCTATTATTCGTCAGGTTGCATTATATACATATACATACATAGATATCCACAAAATAAGAAATAATACGCTTACCGCTCATATCCGTATTCAATTTGTTTTGCAGAATCATGTCTCTGTCTAATACGTTCATCAGGTGCTGGATCAATGAACTTAAAAGTATGTAGTCTGCCAAATTTCACAATTGCTCCGTTCTACAAGAAGAAAAAGAAAAGAGAATAACAATAAGATATGAAAAAGCAGAAATGAAAACATAAAAATATATTATATTTCATCATATATCTATTTATAAACATTAATATACAATATCGTATATCAATATTAATATACAAAAGAAATGTTTTGTGACATACTAAATGACATACCTGAAGTATCGTTGTCTGGTGTATCCTTTGATTATTTACGTAAGTATGAGCGTCTCTGGAGCAAGGTGTCAGAGTAACTATATTTTCAGTAAAAGCAATTACGCAATGTCTTGGCATAACTGTTGGTCCCGTCAAAGTCAGCGTTTGTGCTTGAACCGCTTGCGGACCTATTGGTCTTTCCGAACCAACTTCCGTTACATTTGGCTGCAGCCGATGTCGCACACCAGCACCATTTGGAATTTCACTACCATCAGGGTTCAGTTCTAGCAGAAAGGGGAGTCTTTCGTCTTCGTATCTGTGAAATAATCCAAAATACAAAATAATTATCTTTAATTGCCTTTCAGTACTTTTTGAAAACTTTCGTTATTCTCATTAAAAATAAGAATTCAGTGCGTTCTTTTTCCCTAGAATGAAGTTTTTCATGATAATTTTATTGTTGCAACAAACCTGTAATCTAATTCATTCCATTTGCCACTGGGTTTTTTCTTGCGTTTCCGAGGCACATAGTCAGAAGGTCTTTTTCGTACATGGAACATAATTGATCCTGTAAATGATACAAAACATATTTCATCCAATATCTCCAGCATCAGTTATATTTTCATTTATAAAATAATCTATTCGAATCATAAATCCTATCACTCTCATAATATTCGTAATTTACACATTTAGAATTTAGTAGAGATATAAAGAAAATAACTACTTTTTATCGTCTAATATTGTCTAAATAGAACGAGATATAAGAAAAATGTTTATCTTATAGAATATTTTTATGTATTGTACGTTTTGAGATCTCAGTTTCATTTTTCCGAATAAAATATTACATCTTTAATTCTATGTAATCATATAGAAACGACAAACACGAAAAATAACGATATACTTGTTCCTGCGTGGGTATCAAACAACTTCAATAGCTAAAATTTATTAACGAAATAATAATTATTATACCATATTACAACACAAATTATAATATACTGATAATGTTGCTTACTTAATGATTAATATCAATAAGATACTTACATAATAACACATCTCTGTATCTGTCTTTGCGTATTACACGACCATGAAATTAAAAGTGTAATATTTATTTTGTAAAGATTAAAGTAACTTTGAAAACTAGAAATTTATTTCATCTAAAAATAATCCAAAATATTCCAGGTACAATTAATTTTTTGTACATGTAGGGATATACTATGATACATAGTATGCATAGTTCTTCAATACCTCATTTCATTTAGACAATATTCACTTATAATTGGATACAGTTATATTATGTGCCTACTACAAACATCATTTAACAATACAATATCCAAACTCATGTTGTATATTTTGTATGCCTAATTAACCTACATGTTCTAAGTTCACTAACATAACCAACCACACGTTTACATTACTATTTCTAATTATACTCATTTGCAGTTCATTAAACAATATTACTCATTATTAAAATAATCGACTCTAAAATCGACAACTTTCCAATTTGAATAGACATAAGTAGACACCGAAAAACATTGCAAATTGAAGAAAAATAAAAATGTTACACCTTCTTCAAGATATACCAGACTAACAGTGGAAAAAATTATTTTTGGACGTATTTTTGTTTGATGTTTAGACACATATAAGTACGAAGAAATATCGATCAAATTGATTCAACTATACCAAAGCTAGTTTTATCCACGGTAAATATTAATTACAATTTTTGAAAATATCTATACGTTGTAAACGCGTCACGATTGAAAATTCTTCGTGAACAAATAACTTTTATCAGTCATTACAAGAACAATTTCAAAAATTCTTACGTCTAATTCCCCAATCCATCATCGTGTATAAAATTCTTCGATTTCTTTTACTTGGTCCCTGAAAATGTATGTACGCATGTGAGTACACGTGCACACACACGCATGCGTCTATGGTCCCCTTTTCGATCGATCACTTTAATTTTGGTCCTTTATATTGCGCGTTTTTATCTTTTGTACTTAAGATTGGGTAAGATATATACGATCTGTTTAATATGTAAAATATTGTCGCAGATCATCTCCTTTGCAATCATTTTCAAGTATCATATAATAGCAATTTATACATTTAATTAATATATATAAAATTATAATACTTAATATGTTTCTATTGTTACTATTTAAGCTTTTCCCATATATCTTTCAAATCTAACAAATGTGTTTTTTATGGGGGATGGGGATAGTGGTAGGGTAGACGTATAGGAAAAAACAGCAAACGATTAAGTCCTTAAATTAACGAAATATTGTGAAATACTGCCCTTTTATAGCCAGTTAAATTTGAAGTTTCCTTTCTTGGTATCACCCAACTTAAAAATGTAGGTCAATATACAATTGTTTCGATACATCGTCATTTTAATATGTATTATTTGGCACATTACACCACAACTTGTATTCACACTCGATGACGTATCATAGTCTAAGCAATTCAGAATGTCATTTCATCTGGACTATTATGTGAAATATTAAACGTTTCGCGCAAATAAAAAGAGAAAAGAAAATAGCAAAAAAATTTTTCCTTTTTTCTACAGCAGAATTCGTTTAAAATATGAAAGTTTAAATCACGATTGTCAACAAAAATAACCGTAAATTATGTCACAATGTTACGCAACTGAACTTAAACATTGCTGCCAGAAACAAGGATTTGTGGGAGGGTTCTTCAGATATAGCAACACGCACGCACGCGCCTTTTTATTATACTGACACATCCATTGCACGCCACAGCACAAAGCGGACTAAGTTTGTACGAAATAACAACACTATCATACCGACGTAACATATAAATATTAATAATTTTTCATTCTTCTTTTTTCCTAAATTGTTATACCGTGAAACTTAATGCCTATTCATTTTTATTCTATTTCTACATATATACATAATCAAGTCGAATGCTATATCGAGCTATATAATATAGCGAACTATGTATATCATTAGCAAATATAGCATTAAACGGCGACCGATTGATACCAAAATGACATATGTGAATCGCCGACACTCAATATCATTTACAGTTTCTATTTAACGTTAAGCGATAAAACGGAAAAATATCTTAACTACCTTATGATTTTAACTTAGCTTATTAGCAACTACTCAATGCCAAATTATTACCATTACAAATTTTACTTAATATTTCAAACATCTAAAACAAAACCCTAGGAAATAAAAGTGACATTATATAACATTGATTGGCATTTGATTATCTTTACTATAATACTGTAATACTATATTACCCACATTTTTCTATTCATAGCTATATTTTCACTTAACTCTTTTAAACCAATTATAAATAAAACTTTCTTTTTTATAATTGAAATTGATAATTTTATCGGATTACATTTATTAGAACAATTAAAACTTACCGCGTGTGGAAGGATGATTCATAAGAATGGCTAGGGGACATTCATCATCGAATATTCCATATTATAAACAATGACTCGTTTCGCATTTCTGACTTGATTATGCAGAACTGCTGTGATGCACCATAATAATTTTCTAAATTAACATACAAAATATTGTTGTGTATGTATTAAAAAGAACTCAAGAATTGCAATGATACAACATAAGTATTGTATTTCTTTTTCTTTTTTTTTCATATTATATATATTAAAGCTAGTTCAATAACATATCCTTAGAAACAAAACAAAAATCAAAAGTTATAACAAACTGAATAAGTTGTAAAAAATATTTAACTAACCTGCACGAGACAATATTGCTGTGGATCAACTTTCTCTAAACCATATTTGGAGAGCATCTCGCGTACGACCTGAACTGCTGAATCTCGAACACTTAAAAGCAAAGTTTTATACGGAACATCTTTGCAAAGTGCCTCACCATAAATCTTCAATGTTCCACCAGTATCGGGACCACCGTCTTTACTCCGAAATTGTTGCAATTTTCTCTCCAATTTTTGTTGACGTCGTCTTCTCATCACAGCTTCCGGATTTGAAATACTTCTGGTAAAGCTTGTTTCAGGTAACTCTAAAGCGACAACATTGTTGTGTTGTACCATGCAATGTACATTGTAGCCAGTTCAAACGTGACCAGTTGTATCGATACCATCAATAATATTCAAATAGCCTTAAAATATAACTCGCTTGATGTATCGATAACGAGAAACTTATGCGTTGTCCGCTCACCCGTGTAAAGTTTTTCAGCTACTCCATTCTGATCGACGGGTATAGTGTTCTCATCTTGTTCTAAACTCTTTAAGCGACTTAGCTTTTCTTGTTTCTTCATCTGTTTCTTCTCACGTTTACTTAATTTTCTGCGAAAGCTAGATCCATCCGAAGAAAAACCAACGCCTTGAGCATTAGTCTTGTCATCGATCCTTCTTAACAAAAAGCGCCCTTCGCGATCATCGATATGCCAATTTAATTGCACCAACAGCGGTTTTTCTTCGAGCCCAAGCTTACGCTCTTCTATTGGAAAATAAAAAAAAAAGGAAAAGCAAAATAATAACTAGTTGCAAATAATATGTAAATTCGAAAGGAATTAATATTTCTATAGCCCTTATACTCACCACCATTTTCATGAATTTCGTAAAGAGCATATTCTGGAACTGAAAGCATTCGCATATCTGGACGAAATTTTTCAATCAGAGTTTCGATGACCGCTTGACTTGTTGCATCCGATGCCACTCTAATACATTTCGTTGCAACCTTTTGCCCGCTGTCTTGAAAATAAAATCTCATCACTCCATGGAACTCCAAGTCCTAAAGAAAACATTAAGTTTGAACATATATTTCGAGTAGATCATTCTATATCTTGACTTCGGCATGGATTTATCAACAAACATCTGATGTAATTGGTGCGATAATTTACCTCGTTCGGTTCTGAAAGCTCAAACAGATCTAATCTGTTGGCGTTCCATTGCTGAATAACACCGCGCAGTGCTTCGCGCTCGGCCTTCTTGTTTGCCAGTTCCGTGGCCATTCTAAAATCAATGAATAAATATTAATATGCCTTTATCAAATTGTCAATGGTTTATCACTTTTCTTCACAAAATCATTATAGATCTGTTATCGTATCGCGTATATTTTACTATACAGTTTAAAGATATCAAACTACTCGTTCCAATTGTATTTATTTGATACGCGCCAATTAATTTCTTTGACAGTCATTACCTTAAGGAGGAGCCCATCACGATTAAAATATAGTAAAAGTATTCAACAGTTGTAATTATTATTATTTAACTCTACGCCAATCTATAGGACAAGGAACGGAATTCGTATCCCTTAAAGATAAAAAGATTACACCGTTACCCAAACGTGACCCTATTGCATCGCGTTACGTTCAGACTGGTGATCGCTTCAATCGAATAGAACATTGAAAAACAAATAAAAATCATTAAATATTAAGTCAGCGTTTATCCTTCATATACTTGTATCAAATTAAATAATATAAGAAATTTCTTAATAAGCTTACCGAAAAGGAATACTTTCTATGTATGGTGCTGTTTTTAAAATGCCTGACACATATAGCAATGGAAATTTATCAAAAAAACATACATGGTCCTCAAAAATCAAGTAAAAACAAACTCGCGATGCAATACAAAAAATTGCAATCGTGTACAAAGCCAAAGAAGTTTTGTCACAATCGTCAGGAAAAAGGTCGTTCTAAATCGGTTGCGATCGTCTCCACTCGGACATTCTCGGTAATGTTCGAATAAAATCGGTTTAACTCGGTGTGGAACACGTCCAACAAACAAGTTGCATACCACACATTCCAATCTCCTTCAACAGTATCCAGTCTTAAAACCCTAAAAGCGCGCTTGAGTAATTCGAACACGGTCGAGTACTCTTCACATACAACACACTTTGTAACTTGCCTAGATATTCCGGACACTTTTTTTACATTTTTTACCCATTTTTAATTGCTTTGCTATTATGAATTTTTAATAGAAGAATAAACCTATGCGGTCAATACGTTTTTATTATACACCTCCCTCTATTTTATACACGCGGTCAAGCATACATTCTCATACAACACATAAAGTAACATATATATATATATATAACATAAAGAATGACAAGCCAAATTCCACGTAAAACAATTCATGTGCCATCAATTGCGTAAAAAAGATTATTTTGTCTTTATTCTTTTACTTTGCACAAAGGCACTTATAATCGATTACATAATTCAAAAACAGGTGTTTCCCATTATTCATATTTTTGCAATATTACATAACTGTCGAACTAATGTATAATTTAGCTAAAAAGAACCATCGATTTCGGCAACTCTTAAGAAAAAATTGTCAAAGAAATATGTGAAGAATGTTATACAGCAAATACAATTGAAACACAGTAGGAAATAAGAAGTGGAGGACAGAAGCCTGATGTGTCATCGTACTTACTCTTCTGAGACAGTCATTCTTCTAATACAGTCAAACGAAATATAAAGAACAAGAAAGATGAACGACAATCCAAATAAAACTGAACACTTCAAAAGAAGGATAACGGAAATCTTCTTGATTTAGGTGAACTTCAAAAATATATTTCGAATGAATTAGGGATAAACTTTTAGAAAACAAAGATATAACTATTCTCTACAGCTTATACGAAACATCTTGTTCAACGCATACACATAAATTATTATCTCAAACAAATTCAATCGATACTATAAAAATGAGTTTATAAAAACCTGTCGAATATTAAACATTTTTCTATCTTCTAAGAAATGTTTCCAACTACGTATAAGTGTTCGACGATGAACTTAATGTAATCCATCCCATTAGCAGGAAGAACACTTTTAAAATATTCATAAGGATTGTCCAACTTGCAAATTCCACATTTTTTTTAATCATAACTATTTATCAATAATGTTCAACGAAATAAATTGCCAACAATTTTGTACTAAGTATTAGAGAAACAAATGCCACACCCAAAGTTTTTTTATTTTACACAATGGCAAGTGCTGCATATACACAAACTTATCTCTTACCGCGTAATTACTAACGAACTGACCGTCACGAGCGGACTCGGAAAGCTTGGGCCTCAAAAGTGGGGGAACATTATACCTTCTGCCATAGTGTTTCTTTCACCAACGTCATATCCTACTCTTTCTATCCCTCCACTTCCAATCCACTTCTACCCCTACTTTCCCTTTACGCTATTCACTACCATGCCATGATACACCTTGGTCTGATCTGGTCCGATTCATAATGCTTTGTTCCATTTTATTCCATTCCATTCCGTTCCGTTTCATTTTCTTTCATTTCATTCTATCATTTCAGATTCAATCCATTTTATTTACATCTCTCATTTGTTTTGTACTACACTTATACAATACTTTAAAAGTGAAAAACTACGTCACACGATAAAGTGTTCTAAATAAAGACCAAAATTTTAATTAGGTAAAAAATCTATTTTATGAAATATAAATTTTTTATATTTAATAATTGACTCATGAAATATTTTATAAAACGAATCTAATATTAATTTCAAGGCTTTGTTTGTAACACTATCATGTGTTACATGATTAGACACCAAACGGACAGAAACAGAATTAATATTCAATACCATAAAATGAGGATCATTTTCACTGATTTTAACTGAAACACATTCTTTAAGCAAGAAAATGTAACTAATGTAAATGTAACTAAAATAAACTAACTATTCTTACAACGTTTTGTATCGATAATAACACGTAACACGTAACATATGAAAGCTCTTAACAAAGCTTTCGTAACTATAGTACACCATCAAGTTACAAAAGCTTTGTTGAAAATGGATGCTTGAGCAGTCTGTTTATTATCCTTAACTAACCGTTTCCTGCTTATTTCATTCACATGAATGTACTAAATGAATACTTATGCATACATATACCTTAAAAGTTTTCCGAAAACTTTTTGTTTTTCTGAAACTTGTAACATATACGTATGTATTGTTATTTACACGTTTACATATACACATATAAATATAAGCGTACATATACGCATTTATAACCTTTTTCAAAACAAATTAAAATGAATGTTATATTACATAAAGTACTGAAAAAACACAATCACTGTGTTTGCACAATGTGTTGTGTTTATGTATGCACACAACATAATGTGTGCATACATAATTATGTATGTGAAATATACAATATCAACGCCATAGTGACTAGTTTGTGACCAAAGAAACGTTTAGAAGCATTTGAAAAGAAGTGGTCCCAATATTCAATACTAGGAAAGTAAGTTAGAAAATACTTATATAAGTTACAACAATTTCATCATGCTATGATGTACGGCAACTCTTCCTATTTCTTTTCATTTTTATTTTTTATTTGCATTTGTTATTTAAACATATTGTTGATATTCATATAAGTTATCAAGTATTAACGATAATTGCTATCGTTCATTATATCAATTATATTCTCAATTCTACATAACGAAGAAATTTATCTATATTGCGTATAATGATTTCGATTATTCATTACAAAGAACTATTCGCAATTAGTCACGAATTTTCTTGTTTTAATACAACATTTATTTAAACACAATGAAATTTTTAAAGATTATGATTATTTAATTTCTCGAATCTATCATTATATATACATCTTTAAAAATTTGCAACAAATACAATACAAAAAGTATTTAATCTTGGTTTTTATATGCCATTTGTATTTTTATATTACTATATGTGTATTTAATATCAACTTTTAGAATTCCATCACAATCAATGCATATATAGAATAATAACTAGAAATACGATAACAAATGATATACGGATTATTATTATTATTATTTAGCAATCTTGTAAATAAATTAAGTCAAAATAACAGGACTTCATTATACCATTCAGCAAATAATTATATAAAATTAGTATGGAACTACAATCTTTATAATTATTTAATGCATTTTTAAAATTAACAAAGATGAATAATAACACGAAAGGCGCTAATATAATAATAGAGTGAAATATGTTAACATACTATTGAAAAATATATACTTGTAACAATTTGATTCAAACAAAGGATTTTGTTATAAGAACATACCTTTCTGAAATAGCTTTCCCTCTTTGTAAAACAGATTTTTTTTCTGCTGCTTATACCGTTTTTGCATTTCTTGTTTCCCCACATCATGGTTAATTGCTTTACTAGCATGTAATATACATATGTAATTCACATATATTATTTCACAAAAATATAGTACTCTAAACTTCTAATAATATACATATTTATAACTTATGCAAATGTCAGAAAAAAGCTCGCAATGTAAATCTTAAAATCTTGGTCAAATAGCAATGCTTAATGCAGAAATATAAATATTTTGTAAAGTAACAACTTTAAAGAACACAGAGAGAACGCACGCGCGCGTGCGCACATCATATCTACAAGCTCATGTACATAACATACATTATACAAATGTTACGAGATAGTTTAACGTGCATTAATATCGTTGGCAATTTACATGTCGATTGCTTTAAATAAATTCAGATTTCAAATAACATATTAGAAAAGCTAAAACTGTATTTGCTCTTGCCTTCTGCTTGCAAATACATCTAATTGTTCAGTACTTAAACATGCACGGATATGACTTTAAGTTCATAAATATTATAAATCCAATTTTTTAGTAACTTTTAACGTGTAGCCACGATTGCTGTTGAATACTAGTGAATGCTATCATGTTCGATAGAACGTATTCGGAAAATCGTTTGTTAAAAAGTAAAACATGCTTGTGCGATAACTTTTTGTTATAGTACAATATATTACCGTCTTACAATCTTGTATGCATTAATGTTTAAGAAGATTTACATAAAGATTTAATTTTTACATACAAATTTTTTAGCAAGTTGTTCTTATGTGTTTCCGATTCATGAATTACTATTAATTCACTTCATTATTTTACTTACTTTAACCTCTCTCACTGACCTTTATAGCCCTTAAGTGACTTTATTAGTATTCTTCACAATTTTCTACATAAGCAGTTGTACAAAGATCTTGTTATCGATGTCCTCTGCCTTGCAATTTAGACAACTTATCAATTGACACTGAATAAAACGTTGCTATTTATAATAAATTTCAAAGTTCTGATATTCTGTACGTAAAGAATTGTAAACAAGTATACATACGTGAAGGCGTATCAAGAAATGTATAAATTCACTGATAGAAATTAACAGACAAATAGAAAAGAATGAAAAGAATTACTACGAAATTAAACTTGCAGTTCCGTGCTTAAAACCCCTAACAGTTTAATTGCGATTATAAATTCCAACAGGTGTCGCTTCATCGTATTCGTTCGAACGATAATACAATTCGTACCGTTAATTTTACGCATAAGTTAGAGAATATCATTTTTTCATACAAAACTAAAAGTCGACGTAAAAAATACTAAATAGATATCCAACATAAAAGTATCACCTTTTAATTAACTATTTAAAATATACTTGACAAAATAATAATCTTGCTATAATCGTATATAATCGTATATAATTGAATAATAAAATTATCATTTTATTTAAAACAAGAAACATTAATGTAAAACTATATTAACAAAAATATTCATATTTATTATTTATTAGAATTAGTTTACAACTGAATTATATATATGAACGTATACTGAACACTATAATGATCACTATAAATATTGCATTGATAGGTCATAAATATACATCATCGTGATCTCATTATAAGTAAGTCAGAATATGTTGGAATTAGTTACTATTCACTGTTTCATAATGACCACATGTAAGAAAACAGTGATTTATTCTTGATTACATATTATATTAATACATATATGAGATTTATAATAGTAAATAATTAAAATAGGGAAACTATATTAATAGTAGGATATGTATTTCCGATTAAGAACTTTATTATAGAAAATAATAAAAAGCATGGAGGATGATATCGATATTTATGAAGATTTACCAAGTTTTGGTACAGAGTTCTGTGAAAACGTAAGTATTGCAGAACGTAATTTGATTTTATTGTATAGTTAGGTTAAGTTATATATGTTTAACTATATATGTTATGATTTGCATATCCTTTGTATATACAAAATTTTTGTATTACACTACTTCAGTTTATATCAAATAATGGAGTAAATACTGTGGAGGAACAACTAGAATTGAAAAAACAAATTGCTGAGCTCACAACAAAATTAGAAAATTTTCAAAAGGTTAATCAAAATTTGGAAATTAATTTATTTTCATTATTGAAAACTGCAAAAGCAGAAATTGCACGAAAGGATAAGATGATAGATGAATTAAGAAAGAAGTGAGTAAATCTAAATACTAATAATTTCCTTCTATTTTAAGAACATTTTCTACATGTTAATATGATTACAGATTGGATGATGTAACATTCAAAAGAGGTATACATAGTAAAACTAATGATTATAATATTCATAAATCCACCTTTCGAGAAACTATTGTGAATGCACATCATAAATCTACAGATAAGTGTTTTTCTTCTAATGAAAATAATGTTAAAACAGCAGATTGTTCATATAACCAAACTAGAGATCAACAGAATAAATCTACGTTAATTCCTATTACCGTTTTTGGTGAGCGGTTACTTAAAAGAATGACAGATGAACAGAATTTAGAAAAAAAAGATAAATATTTGAATAAGATAAGTATCAGTAATAATGATAATACAAACAATGAAGGATATGTAATTGAAAGTGATAAAGAAAATGGTTTCTTAAGTGACATTAATTTCTCTAATACAAAAGAAATTCCATCTTCTACAGTTGAACAATATAAAGAAAATGAACACATAAAAAATCCTTCAGCATTATTAAAAAGTACACTAAAAGATTTTGTGTCGAGTAATAAAAGTGAGATAAGTTCTACATTTCAACAAAAACCAATACTTGTTACAACCGATACAAGGAAAAGAGTAAATGAAGAAACAAACAGATACAGCTCTACAAAACGAATAAAATCTACTGGAGATGAATATCTTTCCAAAACAATAAAAAAAGAAATAGATGATAGTACAATCTTAGACTCTCATAGTAAGTGTTCACTTCCTCATAATAACAATCTTGAACCTTCTAGTCATTCTAAGGAAAAACAATATACCATAAAAAATACAGTTATAGGGTACACTCGTAATTCGAGTGCAGAACTCAAAAAACATGATTACTTTGTTAATGATACAAAAAAAGAAGATGAGAGGAAAGATATAAGAAATAAAAATGTTGTATCATATTACAAAAAGGATGCTAATGAACGTTCTTTAAAACGGCGTAACAAGTCTGTTCAAAATACAATATCTACTTTAGACAGAAAAGACACAGATTGTTATATTGAAGTTTTCAAAAGAGACAATTATCGATCAAATTATAGTGAACATCATCATAAAACTAAACAAAAAGAACATCATCGTACCGAAAACCACCGATCACGAATAAAATCAACATCATATATAAAGCCAAGCCGAGAAGATAAATATAATAGAAATCAATACAAGCATACCAATTATGATGCAAAATTTGAGGAACGCTATAATTTTCGAAATATTGGTACGGATAAATCAAAAAATTCTAAGAAAGATTTGTGTAATGCTCATAATGAAATGAAATATTCGACCACTCATCGAGTTTCAACAAATCAAAAAGGCGATAACATGAAAAAAGCTAACTCTTATAATGAATATGATTCACGAAAAATACGATTAAAAGATACTAATAGACAAATTAAACGGGAAAATAAGCGTGATGAATATAATGAATATTCAGATCGTAAAGTGAACGAAGAACATTTTACCAACCATGTAAAATATTCAGAAGTTTCAAAACGAAATTGTGAAAAAGATAATGAAATTATTGAACGAATGAATTGTATTCTACCAATAGAAAATAAACTTGGAATCCATGACAAGTTACAGAACCATGCCAAGAAGGAATTACAAAATTCATCGATAGACTTCGTAGGTAGCGAACTTTCAAGTACCCTACATAACAATTCACTCACAAATGGTAATGATGCTTATGAAAAATTTAAAAATCAGGAAGATGCTCGTAAAATACCAAATCTTTTGTCTACGGAAAATAATCAAGTGATAAAGAATCCGATTAATCACAATATGAAGTTTGAAGCAATGGAAAAGTCAAAAATATCTTCTGATATCCTACAGACAACACCAATTTCAAATACTATTATAACATCTTTGCGGGAACAAAAAAGTTCCGAAAATATCGAAACTATTGAAAATGTAGAAAACGTTGAGAACATCGAAAAATTCATTCGAGATTATACTTCCACGTCTGATAGCATGTTTACAAAAATATCAGAAACGTCAAATATCATTGAAAGTATGAATGATTCACCTTCGAACTTAACAACGAAAGAAGAGAACATTAACGATGTTCGTAATTATGAACAGAATTTAGAAGCATGCGACAATATGCTAACTTCAAACAACTTGTACGACGAAAATTACCAATTAAATAAAACATCCTCAATATTTGATGAAAAATCAATAAATACCTCTGAAAATCATATTTCTAAAAACAACTTACAATTAATCAAAAATGATTGTGCTGAAATGCAAACAGAACAAACGATATCTTTGAAACATGCAAAGGATATATTACAAGAGAACAAGTGCATTGGATTGAATTACATGAAATTAACACAGGATAATCATTCAGCTAATAACTCAATGCAACAAATATCGGAACTGGGGATGATTGACCATTCGTCAGAGAACATTATGAAAGAAAATGTTTTTCAAAATTCATATGCTTGCTCTACCATTATACGTAAATCATCTAAAGAAATGGACGAAAAGATGAATAATTATGGTAATGTGAATACTGCTCATAATATTATTAAAAGCAAGCACGATAATTTCAATAATCACAACGAAAACAAAATTAATCCAAATAGTCCTGACAATATCTCAACAATAAATGCTAATTATAATAATACAGATGTTTTAATGGACACCGTGCATAAAAGAGACTGTAGTAAAGATATAGGAGAAATGGAAAGTCTAGAATTAAAGGAATTTAAGAAACCATTGCAAAGGACTAGGAATGACAACAGAAATGCAAAAATTACATCAACGAATGTTCATGGAAAGCTAGTTGTGTTCGCACGACGTAAGAAACCTGTATGCTTAGCAAATAGTAATGCAAACATGACTGTTCTTATAAATAATAATCCTAATGCCAGTGTCAATTTGACCACCGCAAGTGATGTAGAAACAAGTAGCTATGACACAACAAATATGAGTTGATCAGTTATTAAAATTACAAATAATGATAGTTGTAATAGTAACAATATAAATTGTAGCAGTAGTAGCAACAATAACAACAGCAGCAGCATTAGTGGTAGTAATAGTAGTAGTAGTAACAATACAAACTATAAACGATAATAATAATAATAATAATTATTATTATTATTATAATTATTATAATTATTGTTGTTGTTGTTGTTACAATTATTATGTTAACAATGATGATTAAAACAATAAGTTAAGTTTTCTTTTAATGAAAAATAATGCGTTTGCTTTGAATGTTTACATTCATATTCATTTATTGCTATATTGAATTTACATCACCTCAATCAAATGCACTACAGTATAAATCCTAAGTTAATGTTCATACTATTGTCATTGCTACCACTATTTTCATTTGAATATATCACAAGAAGATTATATATAAATCTTTTGTAAATAATATATAGACAACGTAAAGCATATAAAATAACAAATTTTTAAGTTATTTTGTGTATTTTTTATTCTTATAATCCATTAATGTATTATGATAATAAAGCAAAAACATTATTCAACAATGTTAATTGAAACAAATTTTTATCGAATATAAATTATCTTTTTCATTTAGTAATTCATATATTCGACAATCCAAACCGGAATAACTAGGAACGATCAGGGTTAATAAGCAATCAATTTAGTACTTTATTTTTCACGTTAACAATAAAAATATAATATACCATTTTAATCCATTTTATTGTACTACGTTCAACCTATAATTAAAATCAATAAACAAACATGACAGTTAAATATTACATAGAAGAGTAAAAGATATTAGTACATTACGATAGTCTATAACGACTATACGACGTGTCTGTAGCCTTCCACCAATTACATTGTAAGGAAAGAGCTAATGCAACGCTATACAATGCATCTTGACGCGACGCACGACGTCCTAGTATCACACATGTTATGCGCTGTGGCAGTCAGAATAAGCCGAGTCAAACCGAAAGAGAAAGAAAAGAAGTATGAACATTACTATATCGTATATATACATAGTACCCAATTAATTTTAAGTTTGATTTAAATAATTGTTTGAAACATTTTCAGGAACACATTATAAAATCTGTAGATATGTATAGTTAGAAAGAAAATAGAAAAAACAAAAAAAGAAAAAAAGAAAAAGGACAGTTTACCGAGATTGCACGAGTCACGCGTAACGAATTCACGGCTACGAGTCATTCGTCCAGTCTAGATTCCGAATCGATTCCTCTGTACGTCTAACACGACGGTCGTGTCGTTGACGGTCTTCAGCTGTCGAATTATGGGCTCAATCGTTTTAAAATCTCTCTCGGTTCTCCTTGGAATATTCTTCGTTTTCGTCGGTACTATGAAGCTGACTTCTCATATTAGCAAGGATCTTCACAAGGATTTGGTGAGCACTTGCTCTATCATTATATAACACAATTGACTCTACTTTCCAATTGGCATACAACCGGAATTTTTACCTTAGCCCAACATTAATCTTCAATTCTTACTTTACTTTAAATTATTCCTCTTTGTCATTTTTATTTTCAGTGCTTGTAATGACGTGAGAAACATAATTATTTTTATCTTTTCCTGCGTGATAATCATAGCCTTTTTACGTTAGACATACCGCGTGTTAGTTATACATTGTTATGACAGTCTGTCAACTTTATCAATCATTCTTTCTGTTTCCTTTAAGCACGTTTGTTCATTGCCTTTTTATAGCAAAGAACGACATTTTCCTTTTAAACATCCAAAAAAAGGGAAAGAAAAAATATGTGAAATGTTTAATTTTCATAAAAGGAGTCTATTTAAATAAAAATAATACACGTTGGTAGATATTACACACGTGTTTAAATATATACTCATTTCTTTCGTTCTTTTTTATTATCTTTCCTTGTGCCTATTTATTTTTGTTTCCTTTTTTGAATTATTATCTCAGAAACAATTTCTAAACATCCCAAAACTTATGTAACAAAAACTATGGAAAAAGGAATAACAAACGCAACAAATAAGAAACAGGGAAACGAAAAAAAGATGGAGATCTATGATGGTTTTCAAATATAATACTCAAAAACAACATTTCAAGTTCTATTAAGATAGATAATTTATTATTGTTAATGAACGTTCATTTTGCACTATTATTTAAAATACTTTTGTTTCAATATTTTTTAAAAAGTAAAAAATTAATTTCGTAAAGAATTGAGTATTTCAAATCTTTTTTAAACGATGAAACTCTTTCCTAATGTAACTTGAATTTAATTCGTTGAGTTTGATAAGTCTCGTTAGAAGATTATTTTCGTCCCTCGTTGTTACCCAATGTTTAAAGTTATAGTAAATTATCAACCAACCGCTTGGTGACGCGCCAAAAATATTGCTTGATATGCCAACATATGATGTTTACTAGGTTGAAATTGTGACAATTTTCTTCGTACAAACATTTAATTTTCCCCGACCCCATCTTCGTGTCACTTACACGCATTCATTAGCCGATTGTCCCATTATGTTCACAGAGGAAAGAGTATGTGAAATACGCAAAGGTATTTCCACTGTCCGGTACACTGGACTTTAAAGTACCAAGTAAATGGTATAGAAGAGTTGTCGGATCGCTCGAGATTATTTGCGGACTCGCAATGGCGATAGTTCCAAGCCGTAAGAAAGCATTTTTTAAAAAATGCATTCAACGTTTCGTTTCGTTTCTTTTTGAAACACAGGCGTTGTTCGTGTACACTAGCGTTAGGGTAATTTTTCCTTAGGGAACATTATCTCAAATATTTTCTACTTTGTTTCCTTTCCGTCTTTTTCAGATAAAATAAAAAATGCATCAAACGCAGTGTTATTGTTACTGATGTTAATGGCTGTATACTCTCATTATATGGTGAATGATAAGTTTGAGAGAATTGCTCCAGCGCTGGTAAGATTAAAATAAAAATTATAAAGAGGTGATATATTAAACAGAAAATTTTCTTGAATACAATACTTTTTTTTTCTTTTTTTTTTTTTTCTTTAGGTGTTCTTTTTTATGCTGACAGGTCGACTAGTAATAGATTGGCAACTCAGGCGAGAAGACACGCAACCAGTAACGGCAAATGGTGTAGATGATAAAACCAAGAAACAAGACTAAATTCAAAATTCTTATATATATTTGGGCGATTAAGACCTTCTTTTGGTTATTACGTTAATTATTGCCTTCAACGTATCACGTAATAGTAACGTTAAAAGTATTCTTGATATGCGCGTTAAATAAGTTCGTTTGTTTCATAATTACTTATTTTTCGCGATATTAATTTGTATAATCAGTCACATTACATGTGAAACATGCTTTTTCAAATTTATGCTTTAAATCCATTGCGTTTTATCACAAGTTGCTCTTCAGAATGAATAGCACTCGGATTTGATACAAAGTTCTAATCTCATAAACTTTGAGAATTATGAACTTTTATCATTAACAAATATATTAATTTAGTCAAAAGTTATGAGATAATAGCTCAAGCACAAGATATCGACTGCCAATCGAATTGATGTGTTCTACTTAATATTGTATTAAGATGTACATGTCCTTACACAATAACTAAAATACTGTCATCACATTGTAACGCGTGCTTTCTTCATTAATATTTTTACTTTTATGATACTGTCTTTCATTTTTATAGAGGAAAACACGCGTTCTTAAAAACCAAATAATAATGTACAAATTAAAAATTATTCATACAAACAGATAAAGCAATACATATAAAATATCATTCACTGTTAAAACTAAATCACAGTTATAGGAAGTATAAGTTTTCTTTTAGTCAAAGACATTTTGCTGGTGTCTCTAATTCATAGGAAAAATCATATACAACTTGTCAATTGTACATTTATCTTTCAACCATTAAGTTTGTGATAAATAGAGGTAATGAATTAAGTATATCTACAAGTTAATGCGAAAATAAAAATATCTAAGAAACAAGTTGTAAAGCCCACTCACATATATGTACAATAATGATATTGTGCAAAATATTAATTTTTCAATTACACAAGATGTTTTAGAAATCATTTAAAACTAAAAAATATTTAAATTATTTACCTAAATAAATTCAATTTTTAACAAAATGTAGAAACAATAAGAAATATTTAAAATCCTTACAATATATATTTATGCTATTAGTGACTTTTATTCAAACTCAATTTTACACGCTTTACACACATGAGGGTGCACACATACATAAAGCTAATTAAGTTGACATATGCAAAAAGAAAAGAAGAAAGTATACTATAATTCTTGGTTTTTACCTTTAGCAAAATCACTTTTTGGTTTCTAATTTTCCTTAAGATTAATTTTTATGAGAAAGTAAGCAATATCAAAATATTATTTAACACGTTGAATGCTGTATGGATCAAATACAACTCACACCACATTTGTTCAATGCGCTATGTGAATCAGACTACGTGCTTCTGTTTCATTCATATCTGAATAAAATTTTTATAGATAATGGACACGTGTGGCCCGGTAACAGGTTTATATAGTTATAAACTATAACTATATAATATCGTTTATATAAGTTTAGAACTTCAACTATATAGTATTACAGGTTGCCTATTATAGGGATTTTATTTTTACTTTTGATGTTACCAGTTCTAGATACTTTTATTTTCATTCTATCAATGAGGAATCTCAAGCATAGAATTAACATCACACATTTATAACTTTCTAACGAATACTGAAATAAGCAATTTATACGGATATTTATCATTAGAATAAATTATATTTTCACTGAATGTATATAAATGTTCGAACGCATTATAGATATGCAGGTCACAAAATAATCATAAATAGTAGATAGTGAATTACGTGTACACTGCGTGGTCTAAGAAGAAATTTTTATTGACTAAGCCAAGCTGTGTACATGTAATTTGCATTTAAAAAATCTACTTGGTTGCATGGAATAAATACAAAACCATAATATGATTATTTTATGTTACTCCCAAAATTACAAACAAAAAGGGATCAAAATATTTTTTAACGTTACAGTGTTCAACGTGTTAAGGTTTATCATTATATGACAATTTGTATTGTAATATTAAAGTTTAACAATACATGTATTAATATTAATCATTATGATAATAACAAATTTAAATGTTAACACCAATTTTATATGTCTACAGAATAAATTTATATTTCAAGAATATATTTAATTCGATGTGGTTGTAATAATGTAAACAATTTAAATAAATAACTTATCATTTCTACTTTTGCATTAACTAAATCAAACATTCGTGTTTACATTATCATTTAGTCAAGACTAATTGAAATTTAATTCACAAAGTACTTGTTTTAATGTCAACCTATCAATTATCAAACAAAATTAAATAACTCATTTTATTGATATTTTTGAACTTAGTTTTGATCATGCAAGTTCTTGACCAGTAGTTAAAAGATGTAAAGCCTTCTGAAGATTCAAGACAGCTGTAGGCACATCATCATAATTTAAAGCACTTCCAGCCCATTTAATAAATTTTTGTGCCTTGCTTATTTGTTCCACTGACAACTCAGTTCCACCTATTAAATATATATATAATTAATGTAAAAGTAATAATATACACTTCAGATAAATTGTTTTTCTTCAATTTACCTTCTATTTTTGTAACTGTATGACAATCTTTGTATTCAGAAGACCAATCGTCAATATTTTCTTTACTAGTTGTGTTATATACCATATCTGGCAAGTTAGTGTTAGCAATAACAACTGATTCATCTAAATTTAATGTATCTTTTGGTTCTGCTACCATTGATCCTATTATACAATAAAAATACAATAGAGTAAAATAATAAAATTGTATCCTTATATTAAAATATAATTATAAATCTTCATTGTCATAAAGAGCATTTGTGATACTTCTTTTAAATATAGGAATATATTTTTTTTACCTTCTTCCATATTTTTATTTAAATCAATATCTTCACTACTTTTTTGTATAGGTCCTGGTATAGGTGTTTCATTGTTTTTTAAGCAATTATAAATATATGTTGCCTTCCACATAGCATATTTTCTATTTTGTGCAGCTTCTTCACTTAATTCACCAAAAACAGTCAATACATCATAAAGTAATTCAGCTGTGAAGAAACACAGTACTACATTTTTTCCAAAATTAGCAGCTCTGTCATTCTTATCGGCATGAAGAAAAAGTTTCAATGCCCAATTTTCCAAGTGTGCCTGAGCAGCTACATCATTTGTAATAGCTTCATCATCATGTAATTCTTTCTTAGTTGTCTCTAACCAATCCATTAATTTCATTAAAAAATTTGTTTCTCTTGGTGTCTTGGTCGATAACTTTAATCCTGTTTGAAGAGCATATAATCGACCTATGAAAACAATGAATATTTTTATTTTAAGAATAATTTTCCATTATAACAGTTGTTTTATTTTATAGTAATTTAAATTAGAAGCAGACACATACACCAGTAACTAACAACAGGATTTCGTTCATCATGTGCTGATGCCATTTTCAAATAGTGCTGTATACTTTTCAAAGATAATGGTATTTCTGGCAGATCTGGACCAATCATGTTAATCAATAGATTTTATTTAAATTATGATGTTACTTTCTTTTTTCTTTTGTTCTTTATTTCACAATTCTAAGTACCTGAATTGCATTTCTCCTGGAAATGTTAGTATAACCTGTTACAAATTACTATTTATTTTTTCTAACAAATTGTTATCAAATATATAAATTAATGATACTTATAATAACTATATTTTTTAATATCGTAGTTGTTTATATAGAAAATCAAGTTTTTCGAAAATAATAGTTTCTTCTTATTTTAAGTGAATGTGAACAATTTATTTCGTGAGTCTATGCTAGCAGTATTATAAAAGACAATGATACATACAGATTAATTCTTTTCACGTGTTATAGTATTTAAATTCATATAAATTTTAATGGTAACAAAAAAATATATTAAGTATCATGTACGATTTGATTTATTTTTATTAATAAATAAATTAAACCACAAATTATTATATTTGTATCGTATTACCTTTATTGTAGAAGTCTTTTAAATAAATTGAATTACCAACAACAAAAAGCAAATGTGTTAACGAAATCATGAAAATACGACATAAGTTATAACTATGAGTTTTGTGCTTTCCAATTTAAAGTTCATCAAGACCGTAGTTGTCAGTAATTCTAACATTACTGCGTTTATGTAGTCTTATAAATTAAAATTATTATTTACTATTTATACACTTCTACTACTTACTTTAATTTAATAGCAAATTTTTCATTTTTCTTCCTTCATTAAAATATGAAATAATGATCTTTAAAACAATTTTGTCATTACGCACATTAAATGGTATCCCGTTCTTACTTACTGGTAAGCTGTATTTTAATTTTTTTTATAATTGTATTTATCAATTATTTAATTCTTTTGCAAATAATCCCAATATGTTTCATTGCCATGAAAATCTTTTATATACTTAGGTATTTCACCAACATTTAAGGTTATATCTCGAACATCGTCGGAACAAAACATAAATGTTGTAGGAAAATGGGATTTGTTAAGTGCTGTTTGCTTAGAACGTCATCCAATAATTATAAAACCAATGCTAAACATAGAAGTAAGGTATCAAAAAATGTTACAACAGATAGAGTTTGAAGGCAGTATGATATCAGACTTTGATATACAAAAACAGAAAAAAAGGAGACAAAAATCAGAAACATTTGCAAGTCAAAATATGGTTTCTAATCAAACGATTCAGGATCTTGAGGATTCTTGGGAAGAAGAATTGACAAAGTTTAAATTTGCATCAAAAATAAATGGTACAAATCTTCGTGTTTTATATTTTATCTTTCCAAATGATTCAGATGTAATTTCTTTTCAATTCAGTTTACCTAAATTATAGAAATTGAAGAAGATAATGCAGTTGTATCATTAAAACGGAAACTAGATAAAAATTTAATATTATTAGTAGAACAAAAAATTGGTGATTCTAATTTATGGATTCCTCCTCAAAGTGTAAGAAAACATAGAGAAACTATGATACAAGTAAGGATCATATGGTTTCTACTTTTTTACAATTTGTAAAATTACCAATAAAACATTTGTTTTTCTTGTTTCAGACTGCACATAGAACTTTACAAGAACTGTGTGGAAATAATATAAAAGTAAAGTTTTATGGCAATGCTCCTATTGGATTCTATCAATATAAATATCCTATAAGTATGCAAGAGAAAGGACAAAATGGAGCAAAAATTTTTTATTTCTTAGCAAAATATATAAGTGGAGATATTTCTTCTAGTGTAAACCATTGTTGGTTAGATAGGAAAGAACTTAGAAAAGTGATACACCCTGCTATTCACAAAAGTTTGTCTAAATTTTTATTACCTGATTAAAATACTGTACAGTATAAAGTACATGTTAAGTACACATCATAAAATACGCATGTAGAATAATAAACTTTTACTTCCTTTTCTCTGTAAAATAAATTAAATATACAAATAATAAATCTTATGTTTCTCATCTTGAATTTTTTTTCTTATAGTAGTATCAGAGATAATTAAAGTAATAATTATATCAAATTGTTTTTAAATCATCTTATTTGTGAGATTTTCATATTTTTCTTATAATGTAGTTAGTATAGCATTAAAGGTTTAAAAAATAACAATTCTTTTTTATATTATAAACTCCAATTTGTCTATATGTATTTAGTAAATCAATATTTATTCTATTAAAATAAAAATTTAAAGATTCATAAAGAATAAATAAGAATTGATTAAAATTTTCCACATCTTCTTCTTCCAGTATATTTTGAATCTTCTGTGACTTTTTTTCCTTGTTTTCGACGCCTCTCTTTTTTTTCAATAATCCAGTCTTTGGTATTTTTTAAAAATTTACCTCTCATTTTCCTCACTTGTTCTCTAAAAATAAGAAATAATAAATTATATAACAATTGTGACAACATTAGAAAATGGATAAGATTTAATATAAATTGAAGTAATCCAGAACTTAACCTTCTAGATGTATAAGAGATGACTGATTCAGTATCACTCACACCTAATGCTTGTGGAAGAATAATAGATCCACCTGTCATTAGGACTAAAAAATACTTTTTTGCCTTAGTGCTGTTTGGAAAATCTACAACTATACCTCCATAAAAGCCTGCCTTTGTTGCTTGTGTTGTGATCAATTCAATCTGTTCACTATTTTCAGGATAAAATTGAAACACAGCTCTAGCTGTTCTTGACAAACATGAAAACAGAGTAGAAAAAAATTTATATAACCGTTTTGAAGGATCATAAAAACTTTTATCTGCATTACATAACCATTGTAATGCAGAAATGCTAATGGCTCCATCAAAACTTCCTGCTTTAAATGGCATTCCTTGACCCATATCCCCCAAAATTAAATCTCCATCTACCTGCCTTTCTAAAGCTACACCTGTTAAACAGATGTAATAAAAATAATTATAATTATATGAAGTATAATTTAGTAAAAATAATACATTTTAATTCATATTTACCAAGCATTGCAGAAGATATATCAATTCCTATCCACAAATGTTCATATTCCTCAATTATATTGCCACTTAAACCAGAACCACAACCAATATCTAATAATAAAGAAGTTCTATCCTCTGGCAATAGAAGAAGCTCTAGGGCACGTCTACACATTTGCTTTTGTATGTCTACCATTCGAGAACTATGGAAAGTATATTTTTAAATATTAAAAATTATATTTTATTAGAAATAAAACATAAATTTAAAAAGTATGAAAACACGTTGTTATTGGAAACCTTACTTTTGTGTATATTTTTGAGCTTCAAATTCATTGTAAAACTACAACAAAAAGAAAAACAGATAAAAATTATAACAATCAATTTCAAAGTTTATTCTTACCAATTCAGGTGGTGCTAAATGTTCTGGTCGTCTCGACATTTTATTATGCTATTTTATTCGATTATTAATTTTATAATAGTATTAGTCGTTATGACAATGCAATGTGATAAAATTAATTTGTATGATTATACTCCAAAATGATTTAATTTTTCGCTTAACCTCAATTACATTTGTTGCTACTACACACAAAACTCAAACAATACTTATTATGAATATATATATATGTAACTTAAATTATAATATCAACTTCTTCACAACAAAAATAAATTTTAATTTCACTATTATTAATACGTTAACTGTTTAAATATCATTTAACACGATCATATTTCTACTTTATATTAAGCAGGTGTAATTACACTGCAAGAACCCTTCGGATGTACATACCTATTATTATGACTGCGATGTTTGTCCTCTAAATGATTAATAAATATATTAAAATATAAAATGATTTGATCAAAAATATCACGTGATATTTCATTAAACATTTTTTAAAAAATATCAATTTTTTTTAATGAAAAAATACATTTTATTTTATTAGATTTAAAACTTTGTTTCAAGATTTAAAAACAAAATAGTTACATTGCAATATCTTGTTGAATTAAACTAAATTAAAAATATTTTAATTTATAAATACGTAGTATAATATGTAAGGAAGAAAGAAAGATTGTATAAAAACTAGCAATTAGGATTTTTACCTATTATTTTTAAGCATGATTATTTTATTCTAATTTATAATTTAATACATTTGTTTCATATTACATGAAACGCTGAATAAAATGACTCAAAAATGACCCATTGTAAGGCATATTATTAGTACAATTAACGAAAAATGTATGTTGCTTCTTATGCTTAGTTAAAAATAATTCAGTTAATTAGAAAAGTGCTGATTGAAAGAGAAATTTGTTCACTGAATTTAGAATCTAGTACAATGATGTATTAAAAGGAACACAATATAGACTCATCTGCTGTACATGAGTGTTCTGTCATCAAAATTAAAGCATTTTATATAAAAGTAATTTTGTTTTTGTTAGCCTGTTTGGTAAAGATATTTTCACAATATTCATTGAAAAGTAAATCCATTTGTAAAGCAATCATTAAACATAATTTTTTTTACTGAGCATGACATCATAAAAAGTTTGGTGACTAGGTATCATTGTCGGCAATTCTATAATGTAATGTAAAAATAAAATTGAAATTAATAGTAAACACTAATACCAACAATGATCGCAATATACGATATTTTGACAATGACAATAAGAACAACAACAATAATTATTATTATTATAATTATAATCATATCAATATAAATAATAATAATAATAATAATGGTAGTGGTGGTGGTGATAGTGACGGTGGTTGTGATGATAATTAATATTTGAACTTAACTAGGCTAATGAGATTGACTATAATATTATAATAAGAATGACAATAGAAATGGTAAATGTTTATAGTAGCAACAAGGAATAACAGTGGGAGAAATTTTGATGGAAATAATAGGATAGAAAGTAGTAAGGATAATGGCATTGATATTAGTAATATTAATACGTTGATCACAAAGACAATAATGATAGTGGCAATGAAAAAGACAATTGCAATAACATGATAGACTATGGAAATGAAAATTATGATACACTATTTCTACATGTTCCTGCAATATCTTGTTATTAGGTGTAACTTAATCCATAGTCTTTATAAATTTAATCGCGGAACAAAATTGAGTCCACCAATATTGTTCTTCTCCCCCTAATCGATTTCCATAGAAACTATCCACGTATTGTATGGTTGAAAGCAAGGACAGCGGGTTGGTCTGAAAATTTAATTGAAGAAACCATTATTATTTTTAGCAGCAAATAATAATAGTCTATGTATATATATAGACATTAACAAAGAAGAATAATATAAAACACTTGCTTTAATGATAACATAGACTAATACAGGAATCAAGTCATCTGCTGCAGGCACTCCTCTTTCAGTTGCCATTGAAAGTAAATTCATGATAGTGGTAGCACAACGAAAAACACATTGTAGTTTATCTCTAGGTGTTTTATATGCTGATATCATGCTCAACTCTGCTTGAGCCCATGGCCAGGGACACTCGTAATGGTATATTTTAGGAATTCGTAAATCTTTATGGTTCGGTGTTATGACCTTAGCCAATTTTTTAATATGATCATGTAATAATTGATCCCTATTAATGTCACCATCTCCATTCGGATAAAGAGCGTTATGATACACACGTGCCATTACAGTCCTTTCCACTACAACTCTTGCCAAGTTCAACTGATTTTCGCATGGACCTATATTAAAAGTGTGTATATAAAAGTAATTTATAATTGATCGTTATAACTATATTATAAGTATATTATATTGATGTAGTTGTAAAGTTTAAAGAAATTAACGTTTACTAACACTGCCAAATTGGATCGTTATCCATTTTCGCGTGGAGCTTATTTAGAAAACTATCCACTAAATCTTGTTTCTCATCTGCTAATGTTAATTTTTTGAATTCGTCGCAAAAACGTAGTAGAAGCGACTCCTTTTTTTCTAAGAAGACTTTTACACAAACAGATACAAGATGATTATTGACGGCATCACGATCACATTTTACTCTAACACACAACCTACAATTGTGTAACATTAATATGGTATTAATTGTTTTTAATACGGCTATTAAAAAAAAATATTTTATATTTGTAACATATATGCGTGTTATACGCATATTTTTTTAAAGAGATCGATAACACTACCTATCCAAGTGAGCTAATGTAGAAAGTAATCCTTGCCGACATCTAATCAAATATGCGATGTAAGGTGAACGCTTTTGATAATCTTCACGTAGTGATTTGAATAATTTCCTACATTCATCATCATTAAACAATCTAACACAACGTAATGTTTCGTGTAAATGTGCTATTAATGCTCTGTCTTGCAAATTAATAGCTTCTGCCAATTGCAACTGGAGGAAGGCAACTAATTCATTTTCTTTTTGTGACCAATAATTTCGCTGTAACAAGTAAATTATTTTTCTTTTTTTTTTTGTTCATAATATAATATAAAATTCCAGTTTAAAAAAAATATTCAATAAAATAATGAGTTATAGTACTTCGGAAGTTGCACTCCAAGGAATATGTTGAAGGTCAGCAGTACTAAGTACCATTCGTAATTTTCTTTTAGCATCAGCAAATGCGTAGGAAAGTTCAATATTATTCGGATCTATGAGAAGTCTCTCATCTTCAATTGATTCTTTTGTACGAGATTGATTACTTTCTACAGACGCTGTATCGCTTGTCGCACTTGGTTTTCTTCTATATTTGGCTAAAATATCATCCGTAGTATCTGGGAAATTTTAAAGCAGTCCTTTTATTGTTCCATCCTCGTTTTTTATTCCTATAGCTTTATAATGATAATTGTAATACAAAATGTTAAAGAAAGCAATATTTACCACCACTTGCATTACCAGTTGATGATACATCTTCTGACATTATTCTGCGTAATCTATGTCGTCCTACGTCGATATTATCACTAATGGATTCACGGTCGTAACATCTACCGATGTCATCCGTGCCACGAATTACTTTACCACGTCTATTTCTTAGAGACATTTTCAATTTTCCAAAAAAACCTCTTTTATTTTTCTGTTCATCGTCTAACAATTCCTTGTCTCCACGCTCCGCAGTCATGTCAAAACTGATACTTTTTGGTATGGCTCCGCTGGATACGGTTGGTTTTGAACAGTTATTCATTATAATATCACAATTTTCATTCACCAATGTTCCCGCTGATAGTGGTAACTCCGAACTTATATTTTTTGTTCGCGTCTCAGAACCAGAGCTACTGCTCGATGCCAAGCTACCAGTACTTACTCCAACAATGCCGTCCTGACCACTTTCGTTAACACTTTCTTCAACTGAAGTAACTAAGCTACTTCCTAATTCCTGTGACTAAAACAAGCTTCGAAAATTAACTATACTATATTGTTAAATAATGAATGTCACATATAAACATGCAAACGCATCGAAGAAAAGAAGGAGAATAATAATATAGTAGTGGTATTGACAACTAAAATAATAATAATAATTTAGAGAAAACGAACCTCTGATTTCACACTGGCGTTGTGCGATTTTTCTGTGCTTGACAAGGTGGGAGGTGAAATATGATTAGCTAATAATAAAGTTGGTGCAACAGCTGCTACACTGATGTGATTGTGAGTTGAAGAAGTTTGCCGTTCAATCTGAACTTTTTCATTCTCAATGTGAAGTTTGTCAATGAGATGAACCAATCTATCTTCACATAACGATTTGTTATAATCTGTTGTGCTACCAGCAACACTATTGGCATTTTTATCAATATATTTTATCATGTTTGATTCACAGTCGGCCCTATTTCCATTCTGTTCAGTTACACTCAAGGAAGATACCGAGAGAGTTGTCGGCGAAAGATTAACAGTTGTAGGAAATTGTATATTTTCTGGGTTTATCGGCATCGACTGAAGATTCGTTGTTGACACACATTCGATTGGTGTAACATTTTCTAAAAATATAAAGAATAGAATGATGAATACAAAATGAAGAAGAGCATTGAATAATAAAATGCGTTTGCGATTATTAAATGTTTTTACGAGAAATTTCCTGTGCCAAAGTTTTTTCAGTTGTTTCGGCTTCGCTACGAGATTCAACTTCAATTTCAGATCTCGCGGTATCATCAGATCTAAAACATAACAAATGACACATCGCAAATTTTTCCTGTATTCTTCGTCTCTTTTCCTTTTCATTATGTATTTGTACTGTTTTATTCTTTTTCTGTTCTCTGATTTTCGTTTCTTCTCTTTTTGTTGTTTACAATATATACCTTGCAACACTAGCAGTATCATCAGTATCAACCTCTGTTAGTCTTTCAGAATCACTAGCCAATACATCGGTACTCCAGGCTTCGGATGCAGTTTCACTAACATCTAACACAGCTTGCGGCACTGATTCTGATGTTGACAAAACTGAAGGGGTTTGCTCAGAGGAAGAAGGATATAGTATTTTTTCTTGTTGTTCAATTATTTCACTATCCGAAGCCAGGACATCTGTTGACCAGGTATCAGATACCATTGAAACAGTTTCATCTCCTAAATATATATGTTTAAATCTGTGAATACAATCTTCTTATATATATCTTTGTTAATAATTTATTTCTTTTTTCTTCCATAAATACCTTCGATCAACTTTTTTATTTCAAATTTACAAAACTTGTCATCTATTTCAGATCGACTTTGTTTCGTTGATAAATTTGATGGAGGTAAATCCAATTGCCGAGTTTCACCTGCTGCTCGTCCTTCGTCTCCTTCGGTGATTTGAGATGATGGAGTGTCACGACCTAGACAATTCGAATATCAAATGATTTAATACTTTTCTTATTATTTATCTCTATTCAAATGAAGTTTATTTAGTAAAACCTGATATATTTGGCGTTCCACGCCCAGATACGCTGGCGGATACCATATCAGAGAGATTATCGTTTTGATCCTCTGTTTCCAACTCGAGCGAGGAAGCAACACTATGATTTGAAGCAGCTTCTGATACAGCTTCTAAATTATCCGATGTATTTCCGATAAAGCCTTCAAATAAAACTAATGGTATAAAATATTAATGATTACCTTCAATCAAGTATAAATAAATCTATTTCCTTTCATAATTAAATTTAATTGTTTTTTAATTACTGACTTGACTCAAAACCTTCTATAGAGATAAAGAAGAATTATATTTTTCTTAAAAAAAAAAAAAAAAAAAAAAAAAAAAAATTGAATTCAATTTTAATTAATAAACTACATTATCCTTTTCCTTTTATATGATCAGCCACTTATTTTATTTTATTTCAAATGTGAATTTTTAAAAAAATGTAATACCTTCGTCATGAGATAATGAAAACCTTGTCTTTTTCTCTTGACTTTCTGTACGCTCAACTCCACAATTTTCTTGTCTTTCATGTATGTTAGTTATATCACCAGAGAGATTCAAATTAAGCGGTCCATTTCCCATGTTAGATTGAAGTTCTGTGCATAATACCTGCAATAGTAAAAAGAAGAGTATAGTTATAAATATTGTATATTAATAACATATTAATATATAATATGAGAGAAAGAAATTTACAGAATATATAATTGATATTTAAAATATTAATTCAAAAAAAAAAAAAAGGAAAAAAAATACTTTTTGTTCACTAAGAAGTCCTACAAATTCTCCAGTATTTGGTCCAAATGGAATAACAAGAACATCTTGAGGACTTTTGTCAACAGGTTCTTCTTCAGGTGTTGAAGTGCCGTTTAATTCATCTCCTCCGTCATTAGTCGTATTGGATGACGACGAGGATGATACTCGTACACCCCAATTTTTTCCTATCAGAGAAGTTAATATTTATTGTTTTTTTACCAGTTTTTTTTTTATTTATCCTTTGAATGAAGAATTTTATACACAGAGAGTCGACAATAGACCTGATTTTATATCTATTAGAAATGTAAGATATCTAAGTATAAAGAATTATACTCAGAAATTCGTTTCTAAAAAAAAAAAAAAAAAAAAAAAAAACAAAAAATCAATGAGACTCATGAAGAACACTATACATCTCTTAATATTTTGTACTTTTAAAGGAAATATTTCGTATTATTAAAATATTAGACAAAATATAGTTTATACATATTTATAAGTACTTACAAGTATTTAATAACAGTTCTTAATAAAAGTAAGATTAAAAGATTTTAATAATAATTTTTTATGACACATATCATAAATGTTGAACTGAATACTTTTAGTATCTGAACTAAATGATCAAAGTCTGTGAATGATTAAGTACTGTGTTTCTACAGAAGAAAATATGAAAGAATAAAACTAATACTTTAATATAAGTACCTTTTCCTAACAGACCTCCCTTCTTATTGATAGTTTCAACAGAGACATTGTTAGGCAATTTATTAGCAGTTAAAGAACCAGAAGGTAATTGAGAGAGCATATCGATCAATTGCTTTGTATCAAATGCAGCAGATCGCGAGGCATTTTCTACCGTAGCCTCTGTAGCAATGGTTTGCAGAAATATAATCAATGTATTTAATTCCGTTTCTGTGAATAAAGCAGCAAAGCGACAAAGTCCTCGAAGTTTATTGTTATCGACGATATTAGGCTCGTCTTCAAGCTCTTCTGTTGCACCATCTACCATTGCATCTATTATAGAAGAAACGGAATCCTTATCGAATTTTTTGTATAGGTCGAATGTTTTACTGTCAACAACTTGGTATTTCATTAAGGAAAGCATTTGCAAAATTTGTCCAACTTGCATGAGATTGAATCGAGCAACGTAACTAATAGGTGCATCAGTAATACCATATGGTTCTGGATTTACTATTGCAGGACATATAAAATACGTAAAAACTAAGTCGGTACACATCGCATGTACCTCTTTTGAATCAACATTTCCACTTTTCCCCAAAAGTCCAGCCATTTGTCTAACCAACCAGCATACACTGCTTGGAAAACAATGCATATTTTCCCGTATACTGATAATAAATCTTTGTGTAATATGGAATAAAGAATTAATCGTCCAGAGCCTATATTGTTGTAGCTTCGCTTCATACTCTGCAGTATCTTCTTTGCCAAATTTTTTCAATCTTTCTGATGGAGGAAATCTTATAGGTGCTTTATCTGGATCGATATCGAGAAACATTTCATCTTCCATTAATAACTGTATAATAGGATTATGTAAAGCAGCAGTCAAAAAAAACTTGGCTGAAAATAAACTCTCATGAAAAACTGAGTAAAACCTAGAGAAAGCACATGTGCCATGTCTTAGTAATCTTCGAGGATTATCTGATGGTACAATTTGTAGCAGCATTAGATGTTTCAGTAATTTTAAAACCAAGATTTTATCTTCTGGTAGCAAACAACTACCATATAAACCTGCAGCTAATGACTGAACTATAGTTTGCACAGAGTCTGGTAATAATTTATTCCCTTCAACTAAACACAATGCAAGTAATTTTGGAGACTTTCTAAGAGCACCCAAGAATTCCCCATATAACAAACATGTCTGATAACGTAAATATTTGTACACATCAACAAAATTTGAATTTTCCAATGTATTTGCTCTTTGACAACAAGATGCCGGTGTACAGTATGGTTTCGACATTATCAATTGATTAAGATTAACTCTTTGTTGTGCTGTAATCCATGCTTGTTGGGCTAAATTTGATGATGCATATAACACCTAAAATTCAATCAATTTCTTACTTTTACTCACAATATGGTGTCTTTGTTGTTATTTATCTCTCATCTTAAACTAATTATTACATACCTTTTCATTCAGTATTTGTAAATTTTGTTGTTCTGAAGTAACAAATAAGCGTTCCTGGCGCAAATGATTGGCCAATTCGATTATATCCCATTGTAATGTTCCTAGGGATTCTATACTATTTGCTGATGACATTACTAAGCATACCCAGGAAAACAATGATTATTGTGAAATAATTTGAAGATTCTTCTCTTCTTATATCCTATTAATATTTAGCAATGTATCAAATCTTTTAACAAGTTAATTAATTATTATATTTTAATATTATATTATATTCTACATTAATATAAAAACTATACCTGTATAATACTAAATAAGATAAATTGTTTTTAACCGTTTATTTAATAAAAAGTTTTTTAAATTATCTAGTAAGTAAATTAAGGGAAAATAAGAAGATATGGTCGATTTTCGGATAACACAAGAAAGGAGTCGTAATTGATCACTTCAATTAAAACTTTATCTTTTTTTTAAACGACGATAACTTAAGTTCCTTTATTTTATAAGGATATTTCTAGGGCTGATAGTTAAACGTTATTTGTAGAATTATAACTTTTTATTATTTTTCTTTTTATTCCGAACCAACTTTCGCACCGACGCACAATCATTTTCTATTGTAGGTTAGAATTTCCTACGACAAATGGCTGTACCTGTACTTTAAATCGAAAACTAAGTCTTGATGTAGTTGTTCGATTACTCGACAAGGATTTGAAAATTTAAATAGTGCTCGAATTATTTATTAAAAAATTAGTATTTTATATGTAAAACAAAAATCTTTTTAATAATGCCAAACCTCTATAAAATAGCTTTTTGAAAATATTTCTTCAATTTTGTTCCAGCAAATTTTTACGATGACTTTGAAGAACTAAATTTTTTAATTTTAATAAAAAACAGAAGGATATATATTCTTTTCTAAATATGTGACATCTTTTATAATTCGAATTCCACAATAAAAATTCATTTTAGTTGGTACCAAAGAACAAATTATATAAAAAAGTACATACATTATAATGAAAGATCACCGTATATACTAATAATTCTTATAACAGAAGTTATATATGTTCAATGTATAAAATGCTGATCAAAGTAGCTTATATAACTTTCATATAGTGTATATAATATATGACGTTAAGATAAAGTTGACTATTATTTATTATTATAATTATTAATATCTATGTACATATGAGGGTAATATTTGGACAAATGTTCAACCATTATAAATTTTGAAATGTTCAAAGAGGTTATAGACAATAAGAAATCAGAAAAGTGATATCTAACGAAATTCTAAAAAAATGACAGATATTATTTTAGAAATTAGAAAATTTATCGCTGAATGTTGGACAAATATTTTTGCAGAAGTATGTAATTCAGTAGTTTATATAGATCATTGTGCAATTGAATGCTTACATTGGTACACAGCGGGTAAAGGTTATGTAACATTAAAAGATGCTGGTGCAATTGCAGTTTATGAATTTGGAATGTATCATTTTCGAGTAGGTATAGATATTTTATATATGACTACAAAAATTTTAAACAGAAATGAAAATAAAGTTTAAAAAAAGAGTGATACTATTACAAATACAATCCTTATTATTGTTAGTATGTTGAAGTTAAAGATGCTAAGAAAGCTGTTATTATATCAACATCTGGTGATCCAGCATTTTATCAAAGAACAATTAAAATGATTATGGCAAAGAATGTATTTCAAAACTGTATTGTTTACTGCAGTGTGCCTTGTTGCACTATTGATCCTTTAGGAATATCATCTGTTGAAGAAAAGTTAAATTATACAAAGCTGGAAAAGGATATTAAGATTTGGATGATGTCAAAAAATCTTTCGCAAGTTAGTCAATTAATTTTTTATTTCTGTTTATTTTTTAAATTTGTTGTAAATTTATTTCAGTTATAATCAAATTAAGTTTATTTTGTAGGAACCTATTGTCAATGTTATCTATGTACCAATTTTGGTTGCCCTTTTAAATAAGAATCTGTTTATAACACCTCCTTTTGGAGATATAATGCCAACTTTAAATACAAATATTTCAAAAGATATGTTTATCAAATTAAATTTTTTAGCATATTCATTTTATAGTCTATTCAATAGCATAAAAGTTAAATTAGATATTTATTCAGTTGGAAAGTTCAGTGATCAACTTGCAGAGAATTTGGAAAATTATATATCTACTACTGATCATTGGAATGTAAGTAGTAGAAAATAAAATAATGAAATGTTATACAGTATTATACAATAAATTACTTATTATTGTATGTATAGAATTTATCAGAAACTCCAGAAATAGGAGTTTCTCTTATTTTGATTGATAGAACATTAGATCTTTGTACACCTACTAGTAATAACATGGAATCTTTCCTCACAAAAATATTACGAACGTTTCCTCGTTTACCACATCATGATAATGATGTAGCTATTAATCTATCACCTGTGTTTGGAAAAGTAACGGTATGTAATATATTGTTTACATATGTCTTTATTTATACAACTACTTTCATTAATCTATCTAAATATTTCTTTGTACTTTTATGGATTTTAAGGAAATTTTACAACCATATGAAATACCAGGGTGTTTAGCAAATATAGGAGATGCTATGATGGATCTCTTTATTTCACAAAAGGAAAAAATGTTATTAGGAACAGCCAATCAATTTCTAAATGATATAGTTTCAACAAAAGATAGTCAAAAATTGAAAACACCAACAAGAATTTCTGGGCATAGTTTAGAAAAAGTTGTTAGTAAGATTCAGTCTAAAAATACTATTGATTCTATGGTGATTCATATAGAAAAACTTCAGGTGATGGTACAATTTTTAATCCTCTCTTTTTTATGTAGATAATATACCTTAAAATTATCTTTTATTATTTTGTGATGTAGTGTATTTTAGCAATAATAGAAGCATCCACATCACAAAAGACTGGTCAATTTGAATTACTTACTAGTTTAGAAAAATTAGCTTTGCAAAATCTTTCTGTGAGTCGAGAGTCGTCAAGTATTCTGGTACAGGTAATTAGTTTTTAAATTTTAATTTTACTTCTACCACGGTCACTTAACAAATGCAAATTAACCATCTTTTTAGTTGAGTAATATTATACGCACTCGAATTCACAGAGGACTTGATATTGAAAACTTATTAGCATTATTAATACATATCTATGCTCTTGCGGGAACGCAGATTCGGTTTTCTACACAACAAGAACTTCAATTAGAAGAATCAATTGCAGATGCAATTTTTGAAGATCTTCAGGTTTTAAAAGAAAATCCATTGAACAGTACAAAGTCAATCTATCAGCGTACTTTATTACTCTTAGGTATATATTATTTGACATTTGTTTTTTGTAAAACATTATAGACTAAGATTCATCAGTTATTAATATGTTAGGAGTGCACGATATTACTGTAGCGCAAGAAACGTCATGTAAGATTGCAGCGCGTATTGTTGATACTCTGCGATCAATTGCAGAACAACGTTTAACATTACAAGATTACAGGTAAAGCTTTTAATTATAAATTATATTAATATGATGAAAACAATAATTATTTGTAGATTTTGTATTTTGAAACCAAGTTCTCAAGAAGCAACTCGGCATATTAGTATCTTAGAACAAGTTATTAAGGATATATTCTATGTAGATATAGGACGAGAATTACGGGATCTACATAAAAAATCGTCTTCATTTATTTCAGCTGGTTTTAAGTAAACATAACAATTTAGTTATATAAATTATTTAAAAAGTTTAACATCAAGACTTTCCTGTTTCCTTTTTCCTGTTTCAGTTTGATTTTAAGGGGTAAAACAAAACGTCATCCTCGAGACAATCCCTATATTTTAATATACATTGTTGGTGGAATTACTGCAGAAGAAGCAAAAGTAATTCAAGAAGTAGCATTAGTGCCCAATGACAAGGAAATACCACATGTAATATTAGCAGGGTCTAGGTTGTTAAACCCTTTGGACATAGTGGATAAAATATTTTTTGGTTAACTATATTTTTTAGAAAAACTTGTAAATATAATAAAATTCATTCCTTTTTTTCATTTATCTTCCACTTTATACCATTGGATAAAATAGAATAATATATTTTCCTGATAATTTTAACTGTTTCCAGTATACATATAAGATTTTTTGAATTATGCATTCTACACAACTGTATTTTATAATCAACATTCACATGTTTTTTTCCTTGATCATATATGTTTTCATGTAGCTTGGTATATATTGTCAAAATATTAAATTGAGTTGTATGGATTTTAATAAGTTTTAATAACTTGTTTACATAAGTATCAACTGTAGTAATATTTTCTTCACAATCTTGCCAATAATATGCTGTTATGCTGTCAATGGCTAAAACAGCAATTTTGGCATTATCAAGAAATATATCATCTAGTGTGCGTAATGTTAGAAAAAATTGTTCACTGTTATAACAATTGACAATGTGCAAGTTGTGTAAAGAATTTTTAATAATATTTATTCTATTAAAATCCAATTCAATTGCTTCAGATGTAAATGATACTATACCAGTAGCATTTATAATATCACTCATCAATTCAACTAATTTTGAAATTTGAAAATGATGATCTGTATTTATTAGAATGGCTGTAGCATTGCAACCTTTGATTTGATAATAATTTGGTAAAATACACTTTGCCAGCATTTGTGATAAAAGAAGAGTCTTCCCACATGATCGGTCTCCACTAATTTCTATAATGTCAGTGTTTCGAGGACCATCAAGAAACAATGTATCTTCAAGCTTATTTAGATTTGGTTTACTATTTAGTCTTGCGAGCAATTCTGCTCCAGATTCGATTTGTGAATACATAAGTTTTATTTCTAATTTTTTTTCTTATTTTAATAATAAATTTTATTTCTTTTTCCTTTAAAATATTTTTATCCAAGTTGTTGCAACGTTTTTATTTTATCAATAAATTATTATGAAAATTTTTGCATCACGTATTTTATCTGTAAAAGATATATATGTTGGATATTGCTTAGTACTAGGTATAAAATAATACTAATTCATTATTGGATTACATCTTATTAAGTTTACAATATTACAAACATATGAAGACAAAGGAACAAAGAATTAATGTACATAATGTATAAAGATAACCAAGGAGATTAAATGGAACAAAAATTTAGGTCTTAAAAAGAAAATTACTGTAATAAACCTCAAATATAAAAATTTGTAGAACTCTTTAATGATGAATATAAGAAAGCATTATTAAATTCTTATTAGATAATTTAAGCTATTGAACATTTATTTAAAAAAAAGGGATATTAACCTACTCAGTTTGATGAGTTATACAACCTAGCAAATTCGCTAAAAAATAAAGTTAACAATTGGCAAGTGTTTTCTTCGTAACACTTAAGCCTGTATCGCAGTGTTTAAGTAGCTGAAAAGTTGTGATCAATTGTCACATGATGGCAGTGTTGAGTTTCAATTCTACACTCAAGTTTCATGAGCTTAATGGACAACATTGAATGTCACGAACGTAGCAGTCTTGTTGTTTTTTGTTTTTGTCACGTATATGCTTATGTGGGTGAATATCAAAAAGTTTTTCTTGAATGGAAAAATGTTTTATTTATGAAAGTATAAATGGAAAAATATAAAGAAGAAAACTAAAGGTGAAAAACTATAAAGAAAAATAAAAAAGAAATTGAAATTAGAAAGGATAAATAATTTTACAATTCGACACTCAGTAATAGTCAACAAAGTACTCCTTAATCACATGTACACTAACGACTTTAAGAAAATGTAAAGCATCATTAGTAGTTTTAAATATGTTACAATTCCAAGATGCAGTTTATCATAGTTATTCTAAATAAAGAAATTTAAAAGAATTTGTACCATTAACGTGAAAATATCCTGTTGAATTTTTCTTTGAAGATCGAATAACGAATAACGCTAAAAATTATTAAAGCCTATTCGTGTAAACTATCGTAATCTTTGTTTATATACACACTGTAGCTCTTATTTCATAAGTATATTCGTCGAAACTCATCTAAAAATGGTGCCACTTGGGCCATCACCAGGACATCAAACGTCTGTCAATAATACTGCAACTGCTTCAGCCACTGGCACCAAAAGCAGTTCAACATTGGTGAGGAAAGTCAAATTCGTGTTTTAATATTTCTTGCTTTTTACTATTGTATTAATTTCTCTTCTCACTTTATCGGTGAATAATGTTTTTAAAATTCCTGTATTTCTTGACTTTTGCAGAAACCAAATTATACTTTGAAGTATACTTTGGCTGGCCATACCAAAGCAGTCTCTTCTGTAAAATTTAGTCCTAATGGGGAATGGCTTGCAAGTTCTTGTAAATAGAGATGTTTCAATCTAACATTAATTCAAATAATAGGTTTCAGTTTTATAATTACAAAGTTTGTTTGAATATTAATTCTTTTTATAGCTGCAGATAAATTAATTAAAATATGGGGATCCTATGATGGGAAATTTGAAAAAACTATATCTGGCCATAAACTTGGTATTTCAGATGTTGCATGGTCTAGTGATAGTAGATTATTAGTATCTGCTTCTGATGATAAAACTTTGAAAATATGGGAATTAAGTTCTGTAAGTTTCAATTTGAAAATATTTATAATTTAAAAATTTATATCTAAATTGAATTTCAATGTATTTAAAATACTTCTATGTCATATTTTAATATTAATATGAACTATCTATTAGTAAATAAGTAAGATGAGTGGCTAAGTTATACAATTTTTTTAATTTCTAGGGGAAGTGTTTAAAAACATTAAAAGGACATAGTAACTATGTATTCTGTTGCAATTTTAATCCACAATCAAATCTAATAGTTTCTGGTTCTGTAAGTATTTTAATATAAAAATTTGTTCACATGTAATTTCATGTAAGATAACATGCAAGCTACCATATCATATACATAAGTTTATTACGCAATGTTGATAAAAAGGTTATTTTATAATGTATGTTATTTTTAGTAATAAAAAACAAAAAATTGTATAGTTCGATCATTTTATTTAAAGGGGTATTAGAAGGTGTAAGATAACAATTTGTGATATGGTTCATATTAATATGGACAAAATAAAGAGAATGAAAAAAAGAGGAATTAAGAATTTAATTTTAAATAATATTTTTTACAATATTTTGTAAATTTTATTGGAAGTAGCTTATGTGTTTATGGATAAAGGTTTGCATGTATAAATGCAAGAAAAATAATTAAAGTAATTAACTTGATAAATATTATTAGTTTGATGAAAGTGTCAGAATATGGGATGTTAGAACTGGAAAGTGTTTGAAAACATTACCTGCTCACTCAGATCCTGTAAGTGCAGTTCACTTTAACAGGGATGGATCGTTAATTGTGTCTAGTAGTTATGATGGATTATGGTAAATATACATATTTGTTTTGCATGTGAACACCTGTCTTTTAGAAAAATATTTAATGATATGATGGTTACATAGTCGAATTTGGGATACAGCATCTGGTCAGTGCTTGAAGACTTTAATTGATGATGATAATCCTCCTGTCTCTTTTGTTAAGTTTTCACCAAATGGAAAGTATATTTTAGCAGCAACATTAGACAATACGTTAAAACTTTGGGATTATAGTAAAGGAAAATGTTTGAAAACATACACAGGTCATAAAAATGAAAAATATTGCATTTTTGCTAATTTCTCAGTTACAGGAGGAAAGGTAAATTATACAGTCTGTATGTTAAATGAATTTACTTGGTACAATTAAATTAGCTTTATTTAATTAAATTTTATTGTTCATTAGTGGATTGTCTCAGGTTCAGAGGATAATATGGTATATATTTGGAATTTACAAACTAAGGAGATTGTTCAAAAATTGCAAGGTCACACAGGTATGAATTATAATTAAATGGACGTTTAATTTATGTCATTATAACGAAATATTAATGTGTTATATGATACTAATCAATTTATTTGTTAATTTGTAGATGTTGTACTTTGTACAACGTGTCATCCGACTGATAATATTATAGCGTCGGCTGCACTTGAAAACGATAAAACTATCAAATTGTGGAAAAGTGATACATAAAATAATAGAGATATTACTCATGGTTTCATTGAAAATCTTATAAAAAGCGTTTATATCTTTTAGAAATGTTCTATTCGCTTTTTTTTTTATTTTTTAAAAATTTACACTTACCCAATTTCCTATTTTAATGAAATTGATAATTTTAATATATAATCCACTCATCGGATATTATATTGTAAAAAGTAGAATTTTGTTTTTATGTGAATGTATTTATAATCAACACAGTTGTGCAAGTTAATTGCTATAATTGGATAAACAGAATAAATTTAAATTATTACGCAACAGTTATGAACAAATCGAAAAGTAAATAATTTTTAGGTGAACTATTTTCTTTTATCATTTTGATGTTTATTATGTAACTGGTCGCTTTATGTCTGTAACTATGTAATTTACTTTGTAATTTACTTAAAGCGGATGTTTTTTTTTTTCGTTTATAGTAAAAAATAAAGCAGTGTAATATTGGATGATGTGCCAATCGTGTGTAGCATCATTAAATATATAAAAGAAGAAAGAAAGAAAAAGTGGACAAAACAAATCCTTGTAACGTAAATATGTTTATATAAAAAAAGGGGGAAAGAACGAGAAAAAATTAAACAAAAAATATATACATGTATATTTTCGTACCTGAGATTAGATGTACAATTTGTACCTCTTTGTTTGCAAATCAGGACTCAGCATGAATAAACATTACTGGATTAAAATATGAATTATAATTCGATACTTCTTATTTTATTAAAGCACAAATTTTTTTTTAACGTACAATTATAGAATTGAGTTACAACGCGATACACTCACTGGATATTGTCTATTAAAAAAGCAGAAAATAACTTGCAATTTACAGAGGGACTATATTAGAATTATTTTCATTTCTTAACAATTCAGATAACAAAAGAAATTTCATAAACTGTATGAAAAGACTTAATAAGATAGACGTATGTGACTGAGTGGATGTGTTCACGTGCGCGCATATATGTAAGCCAAGAAAATAAAATACATGAAGAAACTAGGAAGTTCAGAGAAAGTTTTTATATTTTTTACGTTAAAGGAGCGAATTTCCTTTGAACAGCTTGTTCTCAAGTTTTTTTTTTTTTTAACAGAGTCTTCGCAAAATGTCACTTATATACGTAGGATCCGTTATTTCGTCCAGTAAGCCTAAAACATATCAGAAACTGTATTCAAAAAAGTTATTACACCTATATTTCATTTTGTTTACACAAATAGATAAAACTTATAGAAAGGTGAGATTTATGATTAACATATAATTGTTCCAAATATATGCAATAATTAGATAAATTTTGTGAAAATCATGATAACATCCATCAGTGTGTCAGCATTTTATAGAATAATACATTTCCAAAACTTTTTACTCATACAAGTTGAGACATGTATAGTAATATTATGGCATTTTTCTTTTTACTTACCAGCAACATCACAAAATTCTTCAAAAGATGTACAAGGTAATAATTCATCACGATAAGTAGCTAACACACGTTCTGAAGCTTTTAACATGGCTTCATCATTATGTCTGATATATTTAGCCAAAACTGATGGCCATTGATTATCAGATAATACATTAACTTTCTGTGATGAAATGAGTAAAAGAAAATAAGATTAAATAAAGAATTATTTAACATCAGAAGAAACTGGAAATATAAATTAGATGAAAAAAGTACCTTGAAGAAATTAGCATAAATACAGTCGATTAGCCCAAAAAAAATTAAAGCACTTTTGTACACTGCATAATGCTTAACAGTAACATCAACAATAGATTTTGTTGGGCCTGATGGTGAAACATATCGCTGATGGGCAAGAACAATTAATCTGTTTAAATGAGCAATTCTGTATGTTTTCCAACGAGTTGGTGTATGAAGTAAAAGAGACATGGTACACTGATAAAATGGTCCTTCTGCTTCATAACAACTTTCAAGCCAACTAGAATCTGGAGGTGTTTCCAAATATCCAATTAATGTTTTGTCTGCCCGTGTTTCTGCTAGTGTGCTACAAACATATATACCATATTACAATTTATATGATTTATAAGATTTAATAGGTAAAAGATAAAAGTAAATGTAAACATGAACGTGAGTACAGGGTGTATAAAAATTATCAGCACCATTACAGTATAATTTTATATTTTTGGATTGGTGAAAATCTATCAGAAACAGAAGCCAAAAAATTGTTCTTGAGCATGGTTTTCAAGATCAATTTTGTGACTATCTTTTTTTGGTAGATCTTCAATTTTAAAAATGTAGAATCACACTGTGTTGGTGGTAATAATTAATTTTCATACCACCTGTACAAGTGAAAACCAAATTTAATTCAAAATGTTGTTATTCGACGTACGTGTTAATTATGTAAAGTGCTGTATGAATTAAATAAGGAATTAAGTGCATATTTGACTGTGGACCTCCTCCTCCACTATCCTCATGAAAACTCTTTTCTTGAGAAAATCGCAGTAATAGTAATTTCAAATCATGAACAGTTGATGGATAAGATATGTCACGATGACTGGTACACTCCTGTAGATAGGTATTATGTCTGGCTAAAGAACTAGCAAAAGCAGATTCTAGAACAAGAGGACCCCATAGAGGTAAAAGTCCATTGCACTTTGTATTCGCATTTTGCAATGCTGCACTTTCCCACTCATCTCTACCACGTGCTAATCTTACTGCAGACATGTGACAATCTACATGGACAACGTTGAAATGTGTAACGGTGGTATACCCTACAGTTTTTCTTTGTTTCGTTTCGAATTCTTCAACGTTGCAACGTTTCGAAAAGGTATAAATCGCTAAAACCTAAAAATAAATGTACAACAGAAACTTAAAAACTACAACGTGTAAATATCGAAAAAATGGTAAAACTATGGTTTAGTGATTTTGCTTTAAATCGGCTTATTCTTTCCAATTTTTTTTTAAATACTGTATTTTAACATTAATAAGAAATATGGATCAAGAAAGGTTAGAAAAGTAATATGCATTTACCGTCTCGTGCAAAAAACAAAATTTGAAAAAACTGTAGAATGTGTAGCCTAACCTAGATAATTTTAAGGTATATACAGAGTATATCAAATTTTAGTACACTAAAATTTTGTATACTACTATATTGAACTCAGTCGGTATGTGTATTAATGAAGTGCTGAGTTAGGTGTTTGGTGTTTCTATAAACATGGTGACGACGAGCGTACATAACGTGTCACAGAAAAAAAAAATCATTGTAGGGCTTGTATTGCTGACTGAGCTATAATTCTTGCTAATGCTAAAATATTGTGTTGTTTTTCTTGGAAAAACTGGAAAAAATAAACACATTTAGAGCAAAATCACTAGATTATAATTTTACCGAAAAAATATAAGTGAAGTTCTTGTTCATGCTTGCTAATAAAAGACAATTTTCTCTTTTTATATGAAAGATAATTCTTACCATATGTGGTTTGAATTTGTACCCTTCTCGACAAATAACGCATACCAATCCTGTTTCATCACCTAAATCTTCCATTTGTTGAAGTATCGCGCCACTAGCCACCACTTGACCTTTATCGTTTGTTTGCATACCTAATGCGCCTAACTGTCTTTCTCGCATTGCCATCGCCAAACGTTTTTTCTCGCTGCGCGTATGCTGTCGAGCTTTTTCGATTAATTCGGCAACGCGTTTATTTGTGCATAATGCTTCCAACAAATTCTCTGCTAGAGATCCAACATGTTCATCTGAAGATACTTGTTCCAAACGATGTATTATACTGATAGTAAATTGTGATACTGCTAACTGCGTTGGTTCGTGATCGGTTGCTAGGCCAGTTAAGAATCGTAAAATATATTTGAGTGCTGGTTTCGAAATGTAATCTTTTAATTCGTCGCTATCTGTTCGTAACAATGTAGGTTTAAGGCAAGGAGCACGCACAGTTATATACTCAAAAGCATCTTTTACGATTCCCATACTTATGATGTAATCTTTGAGAGTATTTCCAATAGCGTTGCGCTCGATAGCTTGAGTGAGAATACAAAACAATTCAAGTTTTTGTTCATCTTCTGGTGTATGTTCATGATCAAATTCGTAAAAATCTAGTACAGGTTTAAAATAATCGCAAAGAAGAGCCATTTTTTCACGATTGCCATAAGTCAAAGCGGCTAATACACGAGCAAGTTGTGGCAATATATTACTTTGTCTGACAGCAGTTGATTGGGCACAAGAAAGAAGTGCCTTTATATGTTCTGGCCCACTTGATGTGCGTGAAAAAGCTTCAAGTGTAGATAATGATGCATGCGTTAAAATCGTTTCCATGATCTCTAATAATTGTTCTGTAATTTTCGCTTGCCAATTTTCTGATTCAGTTGCAAGACAACGTTGTAGTACGTCGAGAAACACAGTTACCGCTCCCAAATTACTGAGAACTTCTTGATTCTTTTTTACTTTCACTGAAAGACGGAAAAGTTTAAGAAGAACTTGAAGCAGTGGCCGAGCTCGATTTACATTTTGTATAGTCGCCAATCTGTTCACCATTACTTGAAGACCACCACAATCTGCCAGAACATTAGCCATTTTATAGACTTCTTCATTATTTACCTCTTGCTCGCTGTTTGCATTTAAACTTTCAACAAACTCTTCAGTCGCATCTCCGAGCAATCCACGCATTCGGTATACTACGCGCATAGCGTCGCATTCCCCACCTTCTGGTACCCAAATCTTCTTGTATACTTCCCTTACAGGCAAATCAAGACTGATAATTTTATTATTAACTAAAAGCTCCATTCCATTATCATCTTCTAACAATGCAATTAATTCGCAATCTAGACAAATTTTATTCTTTACATCTCTCATAAGTGGTCCTAAACCAGGTTCTAAACTGCTGTAAGGATTTCCCAACATTCTACCTTGAAGGAAATCTTCTTGCAGTGTATCTTTCTCAAGAGACAGATGAAATTCTCCGACATCGTTTTCCTCCGGATAAATGATTGAACAGAGCCTTTCAAAGATGAATACTGGTGTACGTACATCTTCTACGCTATACTTTTGTACTGTTTCCACACAAATTGCCATAAAAGCCTTCGTTTCTTCTTCGGTACCGGTAGTCATTTCTTCAAGAAGATCCAATAGTTTTTCTTCTGTATCATCGATTAGCCTTGTTCGTTGAACGACTAATCTTCTTAGAGAGAGATAACCATTCAGTACAGCGCCTACTAAACGACTTTTATATTGCCGTTTAATATTCTCTTGCTCAAGGAATGTTGCCATCAGCTCTGTAAGCATTTTCAAAGAATAACCTTGTGCTAAGTCACTGGTTAAAGTAGTTTCTTCTAGTCGATGAAGTTCTTCAATCTCTCTCGTTAACAAATCCGCAAGTAACGTCATAACGCCTCTTACTGCTAAAAATTGTTTCCAAGGCGGCTGACTAATTAAGCTTTGGTACAATGTAAGAAATTCTGTGCTACTCTCACCGGCTGTACGCAATTCCTCTAAGTAACACGTAAGCAACACAAGCACTTCTTTCTTACGTTCTGTACCTTGACAAAGACTTTCTATCATATTACAAGCAACTTGTCGCGCTAATCGAGAACTTGGGTTAAACAAAACTTCTTTTAACCAGGCTCCATCAGCCAATTTTAACGGTTGAACACCTTGTTGTCTTAAGCATTGATTATGCCATCTATGCCCATATTTTTCCATTAAATAGAGTGTTCGAGTTTCCTCTTTCTTTAATGGTTTGCTTGAAGAGTGTTCTATTTTTTTGGCAGGTATGCGACGAATCCAATCAGAATACGAATGTTTCGAGTCACCATTTAACCATTTGCTAACATCAATGGTAATACCTTCAGGCAGTTGAACAGATGCTAATGATTCAATGCTCCTGTCTTTAGTTTTCTTTGAAACTGGTTGCTCTGGTTTTACCAGTCCTTGCAATATCTTTAAACACGGTAAAATGATACTTTCCATAACAACAGGACTCTTAGATTCTTTACATGCCATTAAGAACAACTGCATGACACATCGTAGCTTTTGTTCCCAACAGATATCCTCCTTCTGAATTAGAGCTGCTAGGAGCGCCATTTCGTGACGCACTGCTAACGATAAATCCGATGTAACAACGCGACCACGAAGAGTTAAAGTAATTCGACCAGTTAATAAAGAACAAAGTTCTTTAGTAGACTGTGGGTTGTCTCTAGTTACAAGGCACAATAATTGTCGAACCTCTTCCTGCATTTGTACAGTACCTTTTCGTAAATTATGCTCAACGAGCTCTTGAATTAATCCTTGTTTACACAGAACCTCTTTAGCTGCCTGGTTAGTAGCAAGAGCACGTAATAGGGTTAGGCAATGTTCTGTAGCCGCGGTTGCACATCCGTAACAACGACCGACCGTTTGCGGATTCACACACCCGACAATCGATTGCTGATGTGTTATTGATGTTACTGTCGTCAATTGAGAAATGTTTACTGAAGATTCCTCTTTACCAGTTACAATTGTTGCATCATTGCTCGATGAACAACCAGCAATAATTTGGCCTCGTTGTTGACGATCATACGCTACAAGTTCTCGTCGGCAGGCTAAAACCCTTTGTATAATTTTACTCAGTTCTTCGAAGGAAGTTTTACATTCGCCGCAGTATTTTTGAGCAAGTAATTGTATGGCTCTGTTTACCTGAGTAGTACCACTTGACACCTGAATAGCTGTTGCAGCTGCTGCACCGTCTTCTACTAATGCACGATCTAAACGGTGTTCCGATATTTTAATCAATAACATTTCTAATGTCGGTTTATTTGAAATCAATGTTTTGTACACACGATCAGCTTTCTCGAGCAAAGTGTTAATTGTCGCTACTGTTTTCTTGCGATCATCATCGCTCTCGATAGGATCAACTGCACAACAAGGTCTTCCAGTAAGCGTATAATCAAATTTGGCGTATTTACAAAAACCACAGGCATGGCACAAAAACGGGTCTTTTTCATCATAGTTGATTGCCCTACATTTGTGACACTGGAACACATTTTCACCGCAATTACCACAAACGCCGGGATTTGCAGGCACGTTTGCAGAACATCGTGGACACTGTAATGTTTCGGAAGATGCTTGTATATCTTCATAAAAATCCGCATATTCAATCATCAAATTGCAAGCAACAATTGGTAATGGGAATTCCATTTTAATTTCCGTTTGTCCTTGAGCCAGCGTAATCTTTTTAGCTTTATGCCACATTGCAGGCTTATTTTTCAATTCAACTACAGCTTGAACAGATCGATTATTATAATATATATTGATTGTACGCACCATTTTCGTTCTTTTTAGATCACCTATACGAAGGGTTATGCGACTGATCGTATGACTACCTATAAGTTTGACAATTTGCGTGGTTGTCGTAAATTTAGAGTCAACTTTAATTGATGAAAGTTTGATCGTCGACATTGAAACTTCGGGATTATTGCATACTAAGCAAGGTTCACTTTCCAAATAATATCCGTCTAATTCGACGAATTGAGCAAGGTTTGCGTACAAATTAGCATTGGGGTGACGTGCGAGCAACTGATTTTGTGCGCGTAGAACTGCAACTGCTTGCTCCATATAGGTGTGCATCTTTTTACTCGCATGTGGAGTTTTTAAAGAAAAGTAACCAAGTAAGTCAACGAATTGTGCCGCTTTTCTACCATAAGCTGGCAATAAAGGCCACAAACGCCACAGTAAGTCTAGTAACACTTCTTGATCTGTTGGACCACAATTCCTAAGTAGAGAAAAAGAAAAGTTGCACTTGATACGAATAAACTATAAAAAAAAGAGAAAGAAAAGGAAAGGGAGCGAAATGAAGAAAAAAGAGGTATAAAAACAGGAAAAAGATCTAGACTGTCTTACTTGTAAATAGCTAGTATCAAGGAATGCGCTTGCCAACGGACATTCGTATTATTTGTTTCAAGCAGAAAAGTTTGAACAAATTTCGTTAATAGGCTTGGAGAAACTTGTTTTTGAATTTGTTCAACTAAAGCCAAACATTGAGCTTCCTCAAATTTGGCTTCTGTATCCGAGTCTTCAGATTTTTCACGCTCTCGTTTCTCTTTTGTTGCTATGGTCCCAGATTTTGATTCCTAATAATGCAAAAAAATAAGAAATTTAACACACAACTCTGACTTTTCCTCCTCTAACATTCTCATTTCTGTTTAAAAATAAAATTAAAAAGTGATTTTACTTACTTTCACTTTGGTATCTTTTGTTTCTTTCGATTTATTGCTTGAACATATAGCACATTGTAAAAGTTGCAACACTGTAGGACTTACACCTTCATCCAGAAGTGTTGATATAGTAAACAGATATGATAGTACTGTATTCTGTTTTAAACAGAATCTCTGCCAATTTCCTGTGCGACTTGTGGCTATTTCGACACAACATTTCAAATGTTCGATTAAGTCTACCAACGAATCATATGGTAAATTAATGGAATATGGACGCGCTTGAAGAGGATCAAATCCACCAGCGGTACAGCGTTGTTGTACTGACTACAAAAGTGACCAAATATAACACAATGCATAAAATATATATAAAAAAATGCATAACGGTTCCAAAAGTAAAGTGAATTTACCTGTATATGTGAGATTAAGGCGTGTAAATCACGCAGTTGTCTGTATTTTTCTTTATTACCACAAATAAAGAGCAGTAATTTGCGTACTTGTCTCCTAACAAGTGGTGTTTGATAAGACATCATGTATTCGCAAAGATAAAAGTACCAGGGTTGTTCAAAAGCTGATTGTGTTGAATTGCTTTCAGCATACTTGTAGACTTGGTAGGGTAATCGTAGTACCATTTCCGTTAGTAATTGTGGATAAGGCTCAAATATATCACCAGCATGTCCTTTAACATGCTGTCGCAAAAAGAGTGGTGACATGTCTGGTAGAGAGGTTGTAAGATGTTCTTTAAGTAATTGACCACCAAGGACAGTATCGGTTTCTTCGGTTGACGTTCTATGGAAAGGAAAGAAACGAAGCGAAAAATGAAAAAGAAATGTATCCATTAGTATATATGGTACTAGTTTTTGTTATTTGTTATACATTTTCATAATAACGTACGTTTTCCAATATTCCAATAATGCTTTTAGCAACGTAGAACAGTAGTCGATAACACCAGCTTTATTGAGTATCGCGGCTGCCATCTGAGAAATAAAATTCGAATTTTCCCCTTGTGTTTTAACAGTATGTTTCGACCGAGACATTAAAACACCTGTCGATAGTGGAGAGATATTTAAATCATATATTAAAAATAAATACATCATATCGTCATAATAAATTTATCATTCAATCACTTACTTAGCAATCGCATAATAACCAAATGAACTTCTCGCTTGTTGTTACGTTGCCATATATTAGCTGTATCTGGTTTATCCATTTCTAATTCTGTTACTAATATTCGGAGTAATCGTTCGACACAAGCTTTATCTTTCTCTTCTTGTCCATCTAGATCAGCAGTCAACATTAATAGAACCTGGAACATATTTTGTCTTAAGTTTAATTAAGAAATGAGTAATTTATTGGGATAAGAATTGGATTTGGAAAAAAATAAGCAAACCTGCATAAAAGGAACAGTCAAGACACCATGTACATTTGTTAAATTTGGCACAAAGCGCATAAGTTTATCGAGCAATAATAATCGTATGGAATGCAATTTTGCAGTAGTTTCACAGCTTGTATCATTTTCTTGTTCTGTGGTATGTTCTTGTTCTGTACCTTCTTCTTGTTCAGTAACCTGTCAAAATTTATTTTACCACTATAAGGGTGATTTATCTTTTGATCATTTGTCACAGAGTAATAAAGAATACCTATATAATGAGAGGACAGAAGAAAAGAGGGAGAATGTAAATCTTTTACGGTAGACTTTCGTTTTGAGAAAACTCTCTTAATATGTGATTGTGATTGAAAAACAATCTATACAGGGTGTTTCGAGACGCGATGCGCGAGTACGAAGGTGTATTGGGGGACTATACTGAAAATTATTATATGGATGCAAACGCGTATTATTTCGAGAGTCTACCGTGAACAAAAAAAGTTACACGAGCAAACGAATGAATGAATGCGCGAGGGCGAATGGACGATTAAAATGAATAAAACGAAAGGCGAGAATTGAAAAGAGATCGAAAACAACTATTTGTTTTCTTCCAGATAATATCGGATATAAAGTAACGGTGAAAAACAATAATGCTAACGACGAGCGAAGTGACGGAAGCACTTACAGTGAAAGCCGTGGGGAGACCCACGGAATTAGTTTCGGAACGTGATGCTTGGTTGACTCCAATTCCCCCAATCGGAGGTATAGAATCGGGACCATTGTCTCCGTACGCGGAGCTCCTTCCCGATACATTATGCTCCCCCGTCATGCTGTCTATAGCACTTCCTCCGCTCTCGCTTCCACCGCTCTCGCTACCCTTGCTACCACCACTACCACCCTAACATAAAATATATCCCAAATATTACTACCACCTACAATAATATTTTCAATAGTCTCCCTCCCTCCACCTTCTCTCACTGTTTTTGTTCTCTTTCGTATTGTTCATTACGAATAAACAACAACAAGAGCAAAGAGTATTAAAACTAAATAACAAACAACCTCGTGACTATGAAAACCAAAAAATAACTTACTTGTTCTGCTGGAGATGTACGTAACGTACTACCATCGGTAGCAGCAGTTGATCCTTCATCATCTGATCCCCCAGCAGAGGCAGTTGTGTCCGAATAATGACCTCCACCTTCTTGACCCTAGAAGAATTCATTGATAAAAAATAAAATTTAAATAAAATTAAAGTAAAACTTTTCATTTATGTATAAGTTTTTTCTTTTTGTTGTTATTTATACCTAAATATATTCAGCCTAAATTTGGATATTTACCTGACTTGTACTTTGAACTTGAACCAAACCTTGCACTGCTAATGCTTGTAAACTTTGCAACGCTGGCCCATTTAAGTTTTGATGGTTTTCCAGTCTTTGAAAGTTTGAAAGACTTTGTTGAAATCCTTGGCGTAGTACTTGTAAATCGGCATTTCCACCTTCATGATCTTGCAAACTGAGTGCAATTGCCAATTCCACCATTGTTTCATCATCAGTATCAGGTGGCACATCTAATATTTGCGGAAAACTTCCTGAACCAAGCAACGTTTCCAAAGGATTCACCGCTCCCCTTGTTATCGGACCGCTATTACTAGTAGCGGTACCGCTAGTACTATCGGCCGAATTTCTACTTGTGGTAGTGGAAGCTGTACTTGTCGTTGGAGTGGTTGAATCTTGATGACTATCTGCCGTTAACATCACTGCTAAAGGATCAGTCACTGACGCCATTGGTTCTACATCCAAATGTTGTTCTGTCTCTCGATCTATCGTTGACGTCGTTGGTGTAGTTGTTGCCAACTCTCGATGAGATTGTATGGAGGATGATGGCTTTTCTTCCGTATCCACAGCTGTACCTGTATATTTAAATGTGAATAAATGAAATGTTAAATATGTAAAAAATGAATAAGAATTAATCGAAATGGTATTTATAGTACTTAATTTTTTTACCTGGTGTGGTACAATTAGGAGGACTTGGTATATAAACTCTTCTTCTTTTATACCACGGTCGAAGTACACGGATTATTGCTTGCTTAACGGTAAAACTGATGGTTGTATCAGATGATAATAATAACTGTAGATATAATTTCGCAGCTAAGGGAATATTCTTTTCTACATCACACGTTGTAAATGCGTGAATTATTTCAACAATTGCGTGAATTGTTCCTTCGGCATGAGTTAATCCTGGAACTACGACCGGTGCAAGAGCCATGTTTTTCGGATACGCCATATGCAAAGACCACAACATTTCCATAAGCTGTACTACCAAATGGTGTTGATTCCCATCCGCACTTTTACAAGACTGATTAATACTTTGTCGGTCCTTTTCAAAAATTGGTACTAAATAGGCATATAAGATTCAGTAATGTTAATTATTGTACAAATGAGGACTTGTAGCCTACTAAACAATTAAAATTATTTGTTAATCTTACCACTGGTTTCATCTATTGGTTTATTCGTGTACTGGTCAGTAAATTTGGCAAGATTTTGTGGTCGAGATATAGATATACTCCGAACAATAAGTACTAGTCTATAAAAGTTTTCTGCATCTATATCACGGACATCATCCAGTTCTCTCATTAATTTCAACGAATCCAATACATGTGATAATAGTACGTGATCCTGAATAACAATAACAAAACAGTAGCAGTAATAATCATAAGGGAGGAAAAAATATATGAAGAATGTCGATTTTTCTTGATCTTATCCTATTATTGTAGTAAAATAATATAATATACCTTATGAAGATGATATGCTTGTTTAGATGGATGCAAAGCAGCTAGAAGTGCAGTTGTGTGCATTTGTACAGTTGGAGGAGTTGGTAATATAAGCAACTGTGATGCTACATCAATAGCTGTTGTTTTCAATGACAACTTATTTTCGTCATTCGTGGGTATATTAAAAGACAATTCCAAAACTTCTAACATAGCTGCTATCATTCTACAAAACGTATATTTAAAATAGCACAATTATTTATGGATAGAATTCTATACACACACGCACGTACACATGCACGTATACATATATGTATAATAATAATATATATTCATATAATGTAAATAGATGTTATATGGAATTTTATGCATATGTATATATTTAAATCGGACGTTATATTTTGTTATTTTAATTAATCCATTAAGCTTTAACTGTTACAAATTTTTCTTACCTATCGATATCAAGGGAATTGTCCTTTGTGGTGCTAAAGCATTATACATTGATAAAAGATTTTGTTGTACATGATTAAAAAATTTATTATATGTCAAATAAAAATTTATATATATATATATATTAATTATTATTATTCGTGTACCTATCAACAGAGGATAAAGAAACAGGTGCAGATAGGGCACTATCCGTCTCACTATTTATTGTGGTTACTGGTGCAGATGTTGACTGACCTGTTGCAACATCTTCTATTTCTTCAGGCCAGCCAAAAGCATCCTTTGTTTTCCCATATCTGAATGTAAAAATAATAAGAAAGTTGATAAAAAGAACTGTTTGACAAATACTAATTACTTAAGAATAACTCTCACTACATCACTAATGAGAATTATTCACATACTATAATTATCATCTTGATTATTATAATGCGTACATCTTGATACAATCTACCATAATGACGCCTTCAGGATCTTGGGATGGTCCAAACGTGATAGTTAATTTTTTATCAGCTTGAAGACTATCTTCACGTGTTAAAGGTATGTCAAACCAACGACTTCTACTTAAAGTTGTACGAATAGTTCTATCAAATACCTGAAAATAGAGTAATTTATAAATTGTATATTTTATTTTAAGATTAAAGATTGAATCAGATTTACCTCAATATAAACCGGAGCCCTTTGAACGTCCTGATTTCCAAGTAATACTCGAATTCCCGTCATAACCAAAACAGCGTCATTATTGGTAACTTCGACACTGAATCCCATTGCTTTTGTAGAAACGACATACATTCCAGTCGTGTTGAGTCTATGTTTAATTTGCGCGACGTTGTAAATTTGTAGCAAGTCATTACCACCAAATTCCACATCGTTCATCACTTGGCAATGTTCGAAAAAGTCAATAGGAAAAGTAATGGATCCTGTTGGCTTTCCCGTTTTAATAGTCTTCTTTTTTCGTGTCGGCTTAACCGTAGCCATTATACCTACTGGCTGAACTGTAGGAGACATCCAATATCCAGTTTGCTCCATTCCAGCCATATAAATTCTCAGACTTCCATCTTCACATAATAAAATTAAAGTCGTACGATGTTCAGCATTTGAACTCGGATGTCTAATGACAACCATATCCATTATTTTAGCCTTAGCAGGAAATTATTACTTGTTTCCAAAATTGAACAGATCAATCCAGGATGATTGGGTACTTCACTCCACTGACACAATGGTTGTGGCTGATTATTATTTGATTTATTTCCGTTTGAATTCTTATTACCAGTAAGATTAATTTGGAACACAGTTGTTACATCGGTTTCCATGTATTTAAGAGGCGCAATAAAACTTTTACCACATGCATAACTAAAGAAGAGTAATTGCAAAGCGTGTGAATAATAAATCGATACGCCACCACCACCAACTTGACCATTATCCCTTATTTCTGGATGATACACATCAAGAGTATTCGTCACGTAGAAAGGTCCGTATTTCGCTGAACTTACTTCATCCATTGCTTGACCATAAATATAACCAGCTGAGGATATTATCAACAAGTAAAAGACACCATCTTCTGCATACATGAATGTACAATCTCTTATCTTTCCAGTAGGCACTAAAAAGTAATATTGTGGGCAAAGAGCATCTTTTCCAAGGTCATAGATCTTTACAAAGTCTGCAGTAACTAAAGCAAGTTGCGTTTGCGATCCAGGCAACCAAATTGCTTTTATAATAAAATTGCCAGTTTCCAATTGAGGATACAAAACCAAATGATCTGACACAGTTCCAGAAGTATTAAAAGTTAATACATGACAATCCTTAAAACCACAAACTGCCAAAAAATCTTCATTCCATTGATTTCCAGTTACAGACAATACAGTGAAAGGTACAGGAGCAGAAGCGAGTCTTGTTAATGTTAATTTTCGTTTTGATGAATCAGGTTGTTTTAACAATGCACCTAATTGTAACACTGTTATTTTTCCTTTCTCGTGTGAGACAGCTGCATAAGGAAAATATGTTATAGTTAAACAAATCTGTTAGAATCAAAATTGATCAATATAAGAAATTAATGTGAAATATGACTACAAAATCAAACTTACCCAAATGTTGTCTTTTACCATGTGGAGATGACAGACAACACATTGCAACGCGACGTATCATATGTGCAGATAACAATTGTCTAATTGTTTGTCCTTGATCTCCCGAATAATTCATTCGAACGTTTTCGAAAGCTCCTTCTTGTGATCCCAAAGTAGGAAGCTGAAATTAATATTAAATAACAAAGTAAAGTTGTTAAATTCATTATAGGTGAATGAATCGTTTATCGACAAAACATATGGTAACATACCATTAATTGATCAGTATATTCAAACTTTTTATCTACCACGTGTAGTTGTTTCAGTGCCATTTGAGCACGTGCATGGCAACCAATTGCAGAATTTTTTTTACATGATGCATCTACAGCAGGTACTAATGTACGAGTCAAATCTACTAACGATGATACCAAACCACTTTTCCAAAGTTGACTTTGTATCCAATCTTTCGATGTTTCTATTTAATGGTAACAAGGTGATGAAAATTTAAAACAAGTAAGAATTCTACAATTGAAAGAAAGAAGAAAAAAGAAAAGAATTACCTAACTGCTTAGCTAAGTATGCATGTCTCTGTTTGTCACGACCGTGTCTTTCTTGTTTATCAGAAAAGTACAAGGGGCTAGAAGTTCTTCGACGTAAACTACTTGTAAGAAGAAGATCTTGATTCTCGATAGATGATCCAAGGGTATTTCCATAACTTGTACTAGGGACACCGGTTGAACCGCTAGTCGATGTAACCGTATTTCCAGAAACAACGGCAGCTGAATTACTCTGATGCTCCGACGATTGAGGACTTCGTTTCATTAAAGCTTGACAAAAACCATCATTCTTTGCACCACAATCGCAAAAGAAATTTCCATATTTTGCATAGGTAACATCGTGCCCGCGATGACAAACACGAGCACATACCGTGCAAACACCAACTCCGTTTACCATGTTGCACGTGTGACAATGGTACCAATGTTGATTCATAAATTCTTTAAGCGTAATAGTGAATGTGCAAAGCTTGTTGCAAAGGCTATCATCGTCAGAATCTTCTGCAGCACTATCTTCATCTTCGTGTGGAATCTCATCTATCCAATCACTATCGTTCACATCATTAATTGGTGTAGTACCTTCCCATGGTGGACTAGTTGCTCGATCTTGTGATTGTATTGATTGAGGACAAATTGCACTCACTACATCTGCTATGTAGTTTAGTATACAGCAGCCAGCTTCAATAAATGGTAATGGTTTATCCAAACTTTGAAGATCTTTATTCATCAATTGTTCCTTACTATATTTATAAATAATACTGATAAGTGTTTGTTAAAGTATGAATTTTATATATATATATTTATATATATAAATATTAGGTACTACCAAAATTCAATCCATTCAATCGCAGCTTTAAATAATAAGGTATGTCCTTTCTCAGAACCAGCATCAGCTAATGTGGACATAACATTCATTAAATCCGAAAATTCACTGCCTTCAATCGTTGGAGAAAGAATATGATATGCTAATGGTATAAGGGCTTGAAGAATCGTAACAGGTACACCTTCGTCGATGCTACTATACAATTTACAAAATTAATAAAATCAATGGAAAACACGTCATAAAAAAATTAATTGGATGAAATATGACAAAAAAATAAATTCTTATGTATCTATACCTTTTCTCTTTCACTATGTAATTTGTAAGCGCTCGCAGAAGTCGACTATTTTCATGCATCGAATGTTGTTGTTGGACTTGCTGTTGTTGTTTCTGAGCTTCTTCGGTTGTATTATCAACGACAACAAATCTATCGTTTGTATTATTTTAATCAATTAATTATTTTAAGAACATTCTCGAACTAACTTGCTAAAACTCCTACTTACCCACTTGCAGTTACTACTGTTTTTATGTTTATTAATAATGTATTTGGCGAATTACTTGTTATTCCTAAAATAATTTGCTTCAACCATATTTGTAATTTTTCTGGCTCTACATGAGCTAAATTCGATACAGAACCACAAAGACGTTCTAATGATCCATCACTTCCTTTCTCAGCTAGATATGTATAAATTAGTTATTTTTCAAACAAAAAAGAACTATCAAATACTTGATTCACTTATTACCTGTTTTGAATAACATGTTGAAAAATCTTAAAACGTGTGTGGCAAACTGTTGCGATGTTTGTGAGGATGTTATACATAATAACACAGAAACGAGAGATCGATTAGTGTTTGGTGCAAAAAATAAATCTAATGCCTTGCATCCGATTGATTTTCCCAGTAATTGTTCCCAATATTTAATACATCGTTTTAAAATTCTTTCATCGACGGTAATACTAAAAAGAAAAAAACAAGAGAAAGAAGAAAATAATTCACACAATCATTAACAATTGTACGAAAAATCACGAAATTATAAAATCTATACTCTTACACAGTCTTCTAACAATTGTAATACAATAGGACAGAGGATCTAGTATTCTAGAAATATTTATTTTTCTATGAAAAATCACTCCTTGTCTGGTTGTATCACGACTGCTGAAACACTTTGCATACAATTGGTGGATGCGTACCTGACAGGATTTTGCGTTTCATTCGTATATTCGATTATCAAATTATATGTGTGATGTAATACAAAAAGGTGTTCTCGTAGTTGCCGTGTTTCACTGTCGTTATCACCTAGTAGTTTTGTCATAGCCTTATTAGTTATATCTTGAAGATAATCCGTGCGAGCATCCATAGACAATGCAATAAGGATGTCTAGGGCTTGTGAACGAACATCCGTGTTCTCTGGTGCTGTTGTTGGACTATAAAGAGATACTTCATTACATTTCTACATTATCCATAATACATAAAAAGCAAAAGAAATAAAAATCAGATTATAACTTACGTAACGTACTCCACTATAAATGTCACTAAATTATGTAACAACTTTTTCAATGACGGATTAATAGAAAACGTCGGATATTCAGAAAGTGAACTCACATGTTGGCATACAGTAGCCAAAATGTAGCTCTCTGCTGGTATAACGTCATTTGTATAAGTGTTCTATAATTGGCAGGGAAAAAGTATTCATTTATTAATGATATTCCTTTAAACAAATGAAAACTAGATGGATTTTTAATATTTACCCAAGGAATGTGAACGACATCGACAGATTTCCATTTATCTATAACGGACTGTACAGAATTCGGTAAAAAAGAGATCAAGGATGCTTCAGTAGCCCAATTTGCACCAGCCATTGCAATAATATTGTCAAGTATAGAATAATCTCGAGAACCATATTTACCATCTTGTTCAAAAGATTCAAGCATCTCATATAATATATTTGATCGACACGAGAACAAAATTGATTCAGTCAATGATAGAACATGTGGAAGGATACTGATCATCATTTTATTTGTGTTGGCACTTGTAGATTCTGAACTCTGAGAATTTCTAATAAAACAGAAGAAACAAATATTAAAGACAAAAAAAAATGTGAATCTGATACAGGTACAGAATAGAAATAAATCAACTTACTTTGAACTCTCAATAGTTTCATTTTGACTTTTTGATATATTTTCATAAAAAAGAATTTGTAATTTGCCAATGACTGCAGCCAAGATACACAATGAACTGAGTTTAGGTAGAGCATTCTTTGGTATAATTTTATTATTAAAATTAATTTCTGGTTTTAATGCTGTAATGCAATTTTTTGCGACTGTAACATCATATTTAAGGGAATTTACAGTAGATGATACCGTTTTCAAAAGGTTTCTCGCATACTGTGCATACATTCCCTGTCTGATTAAACAATCCTACAAGTAAAGGTAACAATAACCTTAAAAATTTAATCAAAGATTATATTAATCTACTGAAAGCAAACATTACATTCATCCAACTGGTGAAAGTTTTGCATGCAGCTCTAGGTCCCCAAATTAAGGAATATAGTAACATTGGTCCTGCAGGAATTTCCTCACCAAGAGCTAATTTATCCATATATAAGGTAGATGGTGGTAACATTAGCAATAATCTATTAACAATTCATAAAAGATAATTCATAAAAGATTAAATTTGAGTATAATATTTCTTGACAAAATTTATATTTATGTTATTCAATTTAGCAAGCAAATGTATCTAATGTTACTTACCGCCAACATATGGAGAAACAATAGCGAATCGCACACAGTCCTATAAAAGAGGGTGCTTTATCTTTGCCATCGGTACTAATTTTCTTTTGTATATCAGCTTGATTCAAAACATTTAAAATATCTATTAATGCATCAACTAAAAGTGGATATTTCATTTTATCTGGCGCACCTAGAATAAAATTACATGCCTGCAAACAGATAAAAATTATATTACATACTAAATTATAAACTTCAAGAAAAACAAAAAACAGAACGTATTACTAACCACTCCATCCAATTTTGGAGTATCTTGATTATTAAAATCTATGGTAGAAAGATTATAGAACCGAGGTTTCATTGAAAATTCATCCTGATTACCAATTTTACGATAATTATCCTCGATTCCTGTCCATGGTGTAAAAATACGAGCTGTTTGTTTATTACCATCTTTTACATCAGAAACTAAACTTGTAGCAGAAAATAGATTCCACCGAACCTATGCATCAATTAGTGAAAATATACAGTGTATAAATTATTCATATATTCATATATAAATACAGTTAATTCAACTCGTAATAGAAATGTACAAGATTTTTACTACCACTCAAATGTATCTTTCAATTTGGTGGCCCTGCTATCTTGTTACATTTTGTTCATATACAATGAACATGATGTTACTTTCGCATTTTACAAATTAACATTATTTAACGTAATATTAATAATGTATACATTTATAATCCCGTTACAAAAGGAAGAAAAAAGAGTATGAAATCAATGAAAATATACATTAAGAAAATGAAAATGAGGAATGAGATAAACTATGAAAAACAGGAAATAATTTAAAATTCTTTTTGTAATAACAATAATAATAATAGTAATAATAGTAGTATTAATAATAATAATAATAATAATAATAATAATAATAATTCAGTCATTATATGTTTACTTACTTGTTCAAGTAACGCAGGCGGTGCATCATAAAGATGTTTCATCATATATTCAAGCAATAACAATAATCGTGATAAATGTAATAACTGAGAATCTTTCATTGGAGTTTTAACAGCTTCGCTACAACGTACAGCACCGCTACCAGTTACAAGTAGCACTGACTTCTTTTGCATGAAATTAAGAGAATGGAATAGAATCAAAACCAGTTGAGCGTGCTCCACATTCAAATCTGAAAACAATGGTACAACAAATGACATGTTTTTTAAGGTTAAAAGTAAAGAAATTGTTGATCTAATCCACCTTACTCCCTGCAAATGGTTTTTTGCAAGAAAAATAAAAATGTAAATATTATGTATACTGACTCAATTAAGTAAACAAAATAAAAATTTAAGAAAATAAAACATTCTCTTACCTTCATTTTCAGCCTCAAATGTAGAAGGTGGATTGCATACATTTTCCACTAAGGTTGTAATCAAACGATGCCATATACTTATACAAGCTGCTTGTTTTTCTGATTGTGGTTTTAGCAAAAGAACCTATTTTCAACATATAATTAGTATAAGTTATTAGTAAAAGTGCATATTTTAAATACAATAAAAGTTCACCTGTGCCAATACACTTAATGTTCTTGGATAGACCTGAAGGGGCCAAGTACACGGAGTTGTATTTTCTGTTCCAGACCATGGATTTACACCTAAATGCTGGAGGAGGGTATTTTGTAAACCTTCACTCAATGTATTTCGAACAAGTAAATTATGAGTGTAAAGACTCAAAGCTTGCGAAAATTCAGAATACATAGTGCCTAACGTAACACCGTAGAACACTGAAATAGTACCTAAAATAGAATGTACGCTTTATAGTAATAATTTTATGAATATACAAACATGCTACACCGATTAAGCAAATACATGATTACTTACCAGTCTCAGTCCTAGCAGTCTCGTGATCTAGATCTTTGATTATTACCGCTAATATAACCATTTGCTGCTCAACCAAACCATTTACCACATATTCGCGGACGTACGAACTTCTATTATTAATTAAATGTTGATTCATAAATTGAAAAATTTTAGTAGCCAATGATATGTACTGCAATGGAAAATGAAACTAATTACTTTAGTACTTAATTTTTTACTTATTTTTGGAAAATGTAAAAACCAATTCACTTACTCCATGAGGTTCACGATTATCAGGAACAATAGTAGTCACAGTTCGTTCAGTATTGGTTTCGCTGCTGGATTCTTTCGTACCATTCGCTGGTGCACTGTCGGACGGAGCAATTGTTTCTTCGAACCATAATCCCAAAATAGGTTCGCTGTCCTCCTCTATCGACATAACAGTTTTTTCTGTATAGCGAGAAGACGCATTTACACTGTTATTATCTCCGTATCACATAAGCGATGGAATTATCAAAATAATTTTTTAATTACTCATTAAAAATATAAACTAAGCGAAATATACATATGGCAAATGCACTTTTATGAAATATACAGTGGCAGAGTAAAAGTTTTATTGTAAAAAATATTCAATTCTTTGTGCTTTATCATTCAGTTGTAAAAAAGTAAAAGAATATCGAAACTTTCGGGATTTGATCCTATTCGCTTAAAAATTTACTGTCGATAAAAAAATTGTTATATATGCACTCCATTACAATTTACAAGCATATAAACTTTCATTAAAATTGAACTTTTGAGTTAGGTGAATCGCCTTATAAAATAGTGTGCAAATACTTTTGTACACAACTGTATGTAAAACATCTACTGACTATAATATTATATTTACAATAATCTTGTACTCAATAAACAATATTATTTTTTAACCCAGGAAATGACTTTGTATTTAGATGCAAAAAGATACTGCCAAAGGTATAACTCGTCTTTTATTTTTTATTCTATTCAATTATACTTATAAAGAAAAATAATTTTAATTTTGTGTTGCAAGATCAACATTTTTTACCTTCATCAGTGGAATCATCTGAAGAACTTAAAAGATCTTCATAGTAAGTTGTAGAATCAGATTGACTTAAAGCATCGCCTTCAAATGGATGTTTTTGTATTCTCTTCAAAGTACAAGCCTACCACATAAATTAAAATGAAAATGAAAACCAGAATTATATATAAAACGTTTATATTTGCAATCACTGTGGACTAACCCTTCTGTAACTAATAGTGGCCAAGTAAAACAACAAGTGATTAAGTGGCACAGCTTGTAAGAAAGTGACTGCTCTTTGAAGTGCAGTAGCAGTAGATAATATATGCAAAGGTGCTGGTTCTGGTGGAGTTGAACAATTAGCAATTGCTTCGATTGAGACATCTTCCAATAAAGCACTCATTAATGTGAGTGCATGGGAAGCTAAGGCAACTGAAAGTACTCCAAAACCTTGATGGCTAAAATTTAAGAGTTTATAATTACTTTCCATTTCAATTAATCGTTAAAGCAAGGAGGATATTCTCCCTCAATTATTATTATAGAGGATATATATATAACAATGTTGGAATATACACAATCGACGTTAAGACTAACTGTAAAGATGACAGTTACAATTTATGGAGTATGATTGGCAGACTATCTATTCGGAATAAAAATCGTCTAACTAATAAAGTGACTGACAGGCTAACTGGCTGACTAACCGTTGAGCCAGCAACAACCAACTAACTAACTAACTAATTCTTATGTTGAAAACCAACTGTCTAAACCGTTGTAATCCAACTAACCAATGGTTCTATCAATGGTACAAATATAAACCCTTGTGAGTATATGGAAATAGAAAGAATTATGTGAAACAATATGTGGATTATGAGATGGAAACAGACTTGCGATGGGATGTTGAAATTACGGAAAAAAGTCATAAGATAGAAAGTAAAGAGAACTGCCTGGGCCTAGCTAAAAACTAACCAACAGGCCCAGGCAAACTCTTGGAAGAAACATTAAAGATAGGAAATACAATCTAAAGGACAATGATGTAGTGATGGTATCATAGCTGCCACAAGAGTATTAAGAAATATTTCAGACTAATATCTTACATCTTCATAAGATTAACGCGAGTTGTTCCGTCCCGCGCTTTACTAGGTGATTTTCCCTTTTCTTCTTTTCCTTTATCTGCTGCATTTACTGTAAGCTGGGCTTGTAAACCAGTTACTAATAACCATACTCCAATCAATAAATGATTTTGTAGAATCTGCCACAAATAATTAACAAGTTATTTGCACTCCTATACAACAAATCAATTTTTGTATTAACAAAAATAATTTCTTACATGACCTCCAGCCCTTGTACTATTTTTAATTACATTTGAAACTAAACCAAATATTTCAAGACTTTTCTCAACAACTGTAATCGTTAAAGTATCATATTCCTCTTCTGCAGTTTTAATACTTGTAGTGGTTTGTGTACTAGCAGATGTGTTCGTACTACATTTTGGTGACACAGCATTCGTTATTCCAACGATACTGGATGCAGTCGCATATACAATTGAACAGTATAAACAAGACATAGTCAATAACGATAGCTTTTCTAGTTTATTTGGAGTGAGAGGTTCTAAAAATGGCAAAGATAGTATATTGTGAACGATATTAATATCATTTGATACAGAATGTAAATTATGACGTATAGCATGTGCGTCAGAGGCATTCACAGGTAAAGTGGAACTTTTTTTGTGCAAGTATGCTTGATATTTGCGAGTATAACATGATAAGTGTGGAAGATTTAAACACATGTCTAATAGCATGTCTCCCACATCCATATTTCGAAGAATATTTATGTTATTTGTAATAAATGTTGCCTGCAAAAAAAAATAATATTTTTAGAATAAATATATTAATACCTTTATTTACATTACATATAAAAAGTATCTCGTAAAGTATACCTTAATATCTGAATGAACTTCATTAGCAACACTGTCATTTGTAGTTTTAGTTGCATTCTCATTTGTATTTTCAATAACAGATATTGACATTGCAGAATCTTGCAATGGCATAGTCAATTGTTCTAGAATGCTACCAGATAAATCACATTGGATTCGTTCAGAATCTTTAGATGATTGAGAGGAATCTTTTTCAGTTTCAGGAAATAACTGTGATTTGATGTTATGTGGTAAATTGAAATCTTTTGTCATAGCAATTAAAGACAATTCTTCAGCAGATGAAAGTAAAGATTGTCCAGTACAAAGAGCAAGAATTGGAAGCAGTAATTGTTTTGTACTAAAAACAGTAGGTGTTCCATTTTCTAAATGAACTTGATGCTGAGACAATTTGTCTATAAGACGAACAAGTAAAACTCTACATGCTTGACAAACTATAGATATTTGACTTTTGGAAACTGTAAAATCATATAGAAATAAATAAGAAATCATGTAATTCTTTGGAAAACATAGTCATCATTTTCTACAGTGACTAAACAAAAATTCGAAACTTACATGTATCGATGCAACTGCATAGATAGTCTGCTGCAAGAACTGCTACAGATGTGTAAAAGACTTCATATAGCTCTCCTTTAGAAAGGAAGTTATATTCGCTACACATTGCAACAAAAATAAAAAATGTTAAATAACAAACAATTAGAATTAACAATTCTCTCTTTTTCTCTGACTTTATTTCTCTTTCTCTCTTTCTCTCTCTAGCTATCTATCTATCTATCTATCTATCTTCTATATATCTATCTCTCTCACACTACCTTCCTCTTTCTAAGATTATAATCGAAATAATTTCTTAGAACTAAATCATTTCTGATTATAAACATAATAAATCTCACCGTATAACGATGCTTTTCGCCAATTCCAAAATATCATTTTTGTCGAATGATCCTTGTGATATTGCTATTAATGGTTTCATTACCGCTGACAGTGTGTAACTACCACGAATCTTGGACGCCATTTTCGAAACTGTCGACTTTGTTCGAACCTATCTTCTTTTTCCTTAACGATACTTTAACTGCATGCGTGTACATACATGTACCCGTGAGTAAACGTTTATTTTACGTATTACGTTTTTTTGTCTCCCCTAAATTTCTCTTGTTCTTCCTCTTTTTTCCTGATATTCTTTCTCTTCTTTTTTGAGATACATACACTTGCGCAATTTTTAAATTGTACATACATTTATATAAAATTTTGTGCAAGTTTTCACATATACATTTGTACACATGTTTATTATGAAAAAAAAAGAAACAAAAAAAAAGAAATGTTTAAGAGAAACGAAGAATAAACAGCAAAAATAAATCAAGTTGAAGAAAAAATGAAAAAAGAATGAGCAATGCCCGATTTCATACGTATGCTCATTTGACTCTACTAACAAAATCCTTCATTGAAAATCTTTAACCTCTGTTCATATTTATATTTGTGCAATGTGTACAAACCTAAAGAATTGTGTACTGTTCTTAAAATTTGTATATACATAGATTGTGTTGAAATATCTATATATTTTGTAAATTATATAAATCGCAATTTTGTCCCTGCAAATGTAATAATGTAATAACGAATAGATACATAAAATTTCATTAAAAAAATATAGTTAATAATATAAAATTTTAGCAAATATTATTGTATTCGAATACAAATAATTTGATAAATATATATCATCGAAATATAATTTGATAAATAAAATTTGATATTATTGTTATATAGAAATTGTCTTCTTTTCAAAAGTGATATGTGATTAATCTATTATTATTACCATTCTCATTATTAGAATGATATAATCTAAAGCAAAGATATTTCAATAGAGGGATAAACAATATATCGTTGTATAATGTATATTTATTTAATATAATCATAAATATATACGTACAAGTAATCTGTACAAATTAATAGAAATAGCTTTTAGCTAATTAATATGTACCATTTTAATTATTAACGAATAGTTAATAAATAACATTAAACAAAGTTTATTCTTTCTATTTGAAAAATTTCTTATTGCGTCAACTAATTCCAAAACTAAACTAATAGTTCAAATAATTTTATCATTATTGCGTTTAATAATTGTTAAAATGAAATTGAAAGATTCAATAAATTTCGCTTACATACATGCGTACGCGCGCACGTTTAACAAATCAAAATATTACTATCTCACTTTTTTAAAGTTTAAACGAGCGATTGATATAGTTTCGACGATCTTTTTTTGATCAGGCCATTATTTATTTGTACACTATTTTTTTTTAATTACATTTATGTAATATAACGGTAATAATATAAATTATGGGTACATAACACATTACCGTTTTGAAGGCAATACAAAAATTTTGGCAATATTAAAACTTTACAAATATGAGAAAAGCATAGTAATAATACTGTACAATGTTACTATCATTGCGAGTATGTTGACAATTCTTTAAGTCTGTAACTTTTCTTTGTATCACTTAGGACAAAAGCTTTGCATTATTGAATAAAATTTTTTTTTAATAATATTTGTCGTGTTATTTATTACTAAAAATTTGAAACATTTAAATCTATGTTGTTGAATATATATTGCATATTAATATTATTTCTTAGGTTTCATAACATTATCGTTTTAGTTATATACGGAAATTTAACAGAAGTAAAACGATTTTGTAAAATATTTCATTGACAATTGAATGTTCGCTTACCAAAATTTGATTACTGGCAGTATTATTTGAAGTATATACATTGATTGAAAGAAGTTGTATCTGTCCTAATAATATTCCGTTTATTTTTTATCAACATAGTACTCGTTGTTAGTCGATTAGAGGATTTCAAACGCTAAATTCAACTTATAATGTTTTTTTTTGTTTCTAATTTTTTAAACCATTATCATATGAGTGAACTCAAATTCATGGTGGACTCAAAGGCTGTACAATCTATTCAAAAAATCTTATACTTAAAAATTTTTAACACGCACGCGCGCGCGCGCATACAAATGTAATTACTGTATGCATTTGTCATATTATCATGTAAAGCATAGGACCTCTGCCACGACGTTTAGCATGTAGTGATGTTGAGACGGTGGTATATACTGATTTTGAGTCCACTAGCAAGCGAATTACCAAGTATTGCATTAATTTTTAATATAGCAAATAATTTGATTAGTAAGATTAAAATAATGGAGCAAATCTGATTTAAGAAAAAGTTTTAAGAAAAGGAAAAAACCTCTTTGTTAATATATTTGATGTTCTCGAGCATTAAAATTCTATTCAATAATATTTTTGCTTTGTTTACAGAGAGATAAAATAATCAAATCAAATTTTGCATATCATGTAAATTATAAATGTGCTTAGTATTAATTTCAAACCTACTGATCGCATTTGTTTCTTTAATATCAAAATAGCAAAGTAACTTTAAAGTGATTGAAGTAGTCTATGTTTTTCCCTTAATATCAAATCAAAGTATGTATGATGAATTTTATTTTTTTTATTGAAGCATGTTTTCCCTTTCTTTATATATACTTAGATAAGAATTCCATGAACAACATATAAATAATATAACATTGTAACGATAAATATCATTCAATATTTTTGAGAAAGTTATATTGCATATGATATAAACATGTAACCAAAGTAATCCAATGAGTTTAATTTTTAAGGCAATTTAAAATATCACAATAAATTTATATTAGATCTATCCATGGTATAAATTATATGTTGCTATTTATCAAAGTACGTAGTGTTGGGGGCCAAGGTTACAGAGGAGAGTATTTCAATCTTTCTCACTCTTAACACTATCTCTCCATCATGTGCCCTACCTCTTTCTACTGTACTATTGTAGAATACTCTCTGGCATTATTGGTAACCCTGTTTGGAACATCCACATCCATACATAAAATATGAGAGAGAGAGAGAGAGAGAGAGAAAGAAATACACAGTAGTGTTGAATTCAAATAACACGAAAAAATTGCATACTGCGTATCACTGCATATCATATCTCTATTTTCCATAAATTGTAAATCATCTTCTTAATCTCATCAGGTTTATAGATCAATTATATATTGTTCAACATTCAACACTTAATAAACTAAAAATAAAAATGTTATACGAATTGATCATTTTAGATAAATTTTCATACATTTTCATTTTAAACTTAACACTGCTTGTGTTTAGTGAATCTGACAGTAAAAGCATAATTACACAGATTGAAAACTATGCGGCAATCAGATAATTTTCTTATCACTTTATAAGTTCCATCAGTTTTATATGTATGTAAATAAACGTATACTTATGATTATATCATGAAGAATGAAATAAATAAATGTTATTAAAACAAGAAATTATTCTTTATTTATTTTGTGAATCTATGTAACTTAAACTTTTTTTGCTTAGGCCATCAAGTACTACGAGGTTGTAAGTTCTTAAAACATTTTCATCCTTTTGTACATTATACATGTATTTATATACTATTGTCATGAAGAGGAAAGATTCTTGAATTGAATATATAAATTTTATGAACATAGTATATTATAATACAAGACCTTGTAATCCATGTATTACCATGTATACAGTAAAGGATAAGATTTTGTATTTAGTTTGTACTTTGTTCAATATATAATCTATCATTTTAAACAGCTTGTCTGTTTATTTATCACTGTTTGTGTAAGCCATAGCGAATGATGATGGTGCATCATTACAAGCAAATTACTTTTAATTTTCTTTATGATGTGTTGAACATAAATAATACTTGTAGCACATTCATAATAAATAACATGTTTTACTCATAGTGAAATTGTTTCTTTATCAACTGTAGCATATACAATGTACAAAAAATTTCAACTCTTAATATGTAATAATTTATACATTGTTCGCTAAATCAATATTGAACATATTGTTCTTTCTAGCTTCCCGGATTTAAATATCAAGTTCTTCTAGTTAAATCTGCTAACATTTATATGATTATTGTAAAGGTATGAATGTACCTGTACATGCCTATTCTACGAAATTTGCACGCTAGATTCAAAAAGAAAATTTCAAGGTTTCCTTTTTTACTTATTGTTTATATCTCTCTTTCTCTTATTGCACGAATAAACAAACAATTGAATAAATATAATGGATCAAATATAGTTATTTATTTATATTCACATATATTTCTTCCACAGATATTTATGTATATTTTTCAATCCTATTTTCAGTCCCACGTATACATATACTTTATACGTATGGTAATCAAATCAGATAGAGATAAGCCAAGTTAAATGAAGTAAAGAGAGAAAAATAACAAATAAAAATTAATTAATGTCCATCCCATCCGCGCGTGCAAACGCAGAACAGGCAATTTGGTCGTCTATATTATTGCGTGGAACTGACGGAAGAATGATCACTATCCGTCGATGCTGTATCCGAAAGCGGTACGGTGGATGATGCAAGCAGTGGTGAATCGGATGCAACGTAATGTTCGCGAAAGACTTTTGTGGATGGTTGTCGCTGAGACGATAAAGTGATATTTATATTTTCAGGTAAAGGAGGTAATACGTTATTTTGAAATTGTCCGGATATATTACCAACGGGTTGATAATTAGCCACTACGATGATTTTTCCGCTTCTGCTACGCGCTTTTCCAACACCGAAATAACGACTACTAGCCCAAATTAGTTGTGTAAAATGTCCTGCGATAACAAATGCAATCAATTTTAATAAATATTTATTCCGTGTTTATAATTTATATTATGCCGTATTTCCTGTAAAAAATACCTGCGTTTACATTAGCATGGAGAATATCCGGTTCTTTCAAAAAGTCATATTGCTTGACTGCCGAATACCAATACGATGCAACATCTTGTCCAGTTACATCAGTAGGAATAGCACCGCCAGGTCGACAATAAAGATTTTGTCCTACCTCTCGATCATTTCTATAGTAAAATGTGTTCGTGTGCGCTAAATGATTGGCCCATGTTTGTGCATACTCACACAACTATAAAAAAATGTACAATTTCAAATGCCTGACAATCTCTAAAAAAAATTTTAAATATATATTTATATTTTGTATAAACAAATCACATATATAAGTAATAAGAAATAAAAAATATAGCAATTTCTTTTCCACACTTATTCTTTTTCTTGAAACATTTAAGCACTATTATTCTTACCTGTGGTGACATCGTTAGAGGTGGTACATTGTGTCTTTGTCGATAAACATTATGCCAGCACAAACATTCCGTTATGAATTCGCTATCGCGCCAATCAGTCTCCAAATCGTTACTGTCATGAGCGATACTCATCGGCCTGTTACTCAGGATCTATGTAGTATCGACAAAAAGAGCAGGGGCAGTAAAAATGTGCCATTTTGATAAACTAATCACCTAGGCTTGTTCGTCTTGTTCTTGATTAGTGTCCTAAGCATTCGTCCTAGATCGTTGAAAGATTTCGTTCTCTCACCTTTTTTAATAGCTTCGGTCGATTGTCGAGCTGATGAATTTGATCATTATTCAGAACTGAAGAAGTAGAAGTCGATCCGCAGGTATCTGAAATCCGATTTGCTTTATACAGTTTTGATTGTTCCACTCTTTTTCGAAGATTTTCCAACGCTTTTGCCTCTTCTCTCTTTCTAGAAGGAGGCCAATTTGCGTTCGAAGTATGGATCATACTGATACCGACGGACGACGTATCCTAAAAAATAAAAAAATAAGAATTTTATGATTTTTGAAATTTTGCAGTTCTATCTTAATGATCTTGCAATTCGAATCAACAATAATTATATAGAATATTCAGGCATAAGTTGAAATTATTACCAAGTTCAAAATACAATTGGAACATAAACATGATTAACACAGTTTCACAAAAATACGAAACTAATAACTGTATAGAATTTGATACTTTAAATGGTTAATATTTTTGATTAAAAGATTAATTTAGTAAACTGTCCATTCTTGAAATGCCCAAAAAATTACACAATTATTATCTAACATATCTTTACAATAGATGCATTTGTCATCTTCGTTTATTACATTTTACGTATTTGATATGTTGATTAAATTGGCCTATATTACACGAATAAAGTAGCAAAAAAAAAAAAAAAGAAAATAATACGATACACCACCTTTTGGTAATTACCATTCGTGAGATTAAAATCTGCTAAATGAGCTGTTTGACTAAGCAAACGACGACTGGCAGGACATCGATTGCGATTTATTATTTCTTTTTGAATAGCATATTCGATGAAATAACTTTCAATTTCCATATTATCACGGTTGGATGGCGATAGAAGTTCTGTAGTTTCTTCTGCAGTGTCAAAATTACGATTTACTTCGCGTAACTCCATTACGAGTTGCTTTAAAATTTCCTGCAATCAACTGCAATATTATTCGTGCGGTTTATTATAACTCTCCAACCTACCCTCAATTACCGGCTGTCTACCGTCGACTGCTGAACTTCTACCTTCAACCACCTCCACTCGCCTCGACCATTGGCAATCCCTTCCCCTCTCATATTGTACAAAAATTATCTTTGCGTGCCGAGATTGTCCTTCTTTACCTAGCATGCGCATCTTGAATGTAACTATATTCACTCACATTTCCATACTGTTGTAGATTGCTCTTCATAAGTGCAGTTGACATCCAACATATACAATTTAAATATAAAGTTTTCAAAATTTGTCAAGATTTTGATATTTTGATATCTAATATAAAATATGAAGTTAGCAAATATATATCTACGACTAAGAAATAATTATAACCATACAATTTTGTAAATTTATTACATAATAAAAGAATATATTTTTGAAAATTATGTTCAACGGCAAAGCGTTTAAGAATTGTACTATTTTATACACGTATATTATTGAAAAGGCATATTCAAATTCTACGATATTACTTATTACATAAAAATAAAAAATTATGTATTAACAATGTATCGATAAATAAGAATTTTGTAATAATTTCATGCAATAAGTTTATACTTAAAAGTATATTGTAATAAGATAACCCACATACAAATTGTATTGTTATTATGACCATAACCTTAGACTAGAGTAGCAATAAACAATTAGGTATTAACCTAACCTAATACACTAATGAGACGACATAGTATTAGTAACAAGAAATCATATTTCTATTCGGATTACGCACTTTTAAATTATCATGCATATTTGACAGAAAAAATATAAGATATATTTTAAATGAATTAGTTTGTTATAGTACAGTAAGAAAAATAAATGAGAATATTTTTTAATCTTATTTATTACGAATATAAAACGAGAATCATGCCTATAAAGGAACGGAATTTTCAAGACTTGTAGTAGTATTTTGTCAGTGTCTATTTAATTTTGTTTTTTTCATTTATATAATCGTTTTGTGCAGATTTTTTTGAAGATAAGATTTTAAATATTAACTGTTTCCGATATTTAAAATACATTTCATACACAAATAGTGTGTTTATTTGTCAATTTACTTTATGTTAAAGGGATACATTTCATATTGTTTTTATTATTGTTGTTATATTGCAAAAAATGTCATTAATATATGTCTGTAAATATTATGATTCATGGAATAAATTTGTATTAGATTATATTAATTTAATAATTTCTAATAATTTTATAATAATAATTTTATTTTAATTATAATAATTTATATATGTATAAATATTATTATTGATTTTGATATTTAATCATATATTAAATACAAAAGTCATTTCTCAATTAATTTTTTTAATAACTTCAACCCTGTAGTTTCTTTTATATTTGAACAACTTTTATATATTACTTTGTTTATAGAATTGAAAAAAGCTTTCTTTAACAAATTTTCCTTTCTTTTATGTTGGCTTCAAAAATATTTTTCATATGTAGTACTTTAAATTTGTCAGAGCTTCTAATCATAGCTCAACTACTGGAATAAATTATAAATAAATAAATAAATTTCTATTGATTATAACTTGTATGCCCTTACTGTTTTTAAGAAAATAAAGATTAATTGTTCAACAAGTATTCCATATGACATAGAAATGGAAAAGTTTTTAATGAAACACATAGAATTTTAGTTCACCGAAATCTTATAATATTTTTATTAACTGAACTAGCCAAATGAACTTAGATTTAATCAATCATGGTTAAATTATCAATGAAATTAGGGTTATTTTGAAATATATTGTAGAATTTTAAATTAAAAATTCTTCATTAGTACTCGATGAGGACTAATTTTATGAATATTTCTGTTGATGAATCATTAAGAATAATTGCATCTGGTATTTCGATATTGTCGACAGATTAAAATGTTTTTGGTTTCCATCAATTATTGAAATTTTTGAATAATAGTTAATTAGCTCTTTGAATAATTCTTTTGTTAACGCTTTCTGTATTTTTTATGTTTTAGAGCAGTACTTTGTACTACTCTACTTTTATAAAGGCTTTAGTTCTTTTCCTGTCAGAATTTGCCACTGTGTTCTATGAATACAAACAATAAATAGTTATATATACATGTAAATCACTTGAATTATTGAAAACCCTGAAGACGGTATTAGAGTAATTGTGATTGCTTTGGGAGTATCTAGGTATAATATTCATTTACAAAGTATTCACTATTCCTGCCAATATGAAATAGATAGCAAGCAAAAACATGGATTGTTTACTCTGGCTCCTTGAACTTATTGAAGATGAGAAAAAGTAATCTCACTGTACGAGTAGCAAAAGCAAGCGAGGTTCTGAAAGCAGAGGGCATTGGTCTCATTGGAGGGCATTACTGTCAGGACACGTAGAATATTACCAGCAAAGAGCCATTAGGTACCAAGAATTGTTTCTTATGGCAAGAAAAGATGGAAGCAGTAATACAAATGATATATCTATTGAATTCTAGGTCGGTTAACCATATGTCATGCAGGACCGAAATATTTGATGGTGAAATAAAGACTGAGAAAGGAATTGATGCCAATTACCTTTCTAGAGACCCAGGTCTAAACACATTAATGAAATATAGTACAAAATACGGTATAGAAGAAAGTACACGATATCACAGAAAATAAATCACAAAATGGATTTCAAAAGAATCACAAAAGGCAATACAGTGTATACTATAAAATAAAGTACAACATATACTAGAAAATAAATTTGAAAATAAATTACGAAATATCGGGTGTTTAACATTTGCAAAAAAGGAAGAGCAATTAATAATAACACGGAAGTAAGAATAAGATTATTCTGCAATAAAATAAGAAATCATTTCTTATGTCACACGCGCTTTCACTTATGGCGTTTTAAAAGTTGCAAAAATAGTGGGGAAAGTGGACTCTCGTGACTCTGTTTTTTTAAATGTTATATCAAAAGGGGATACTTTTGAGGGAGACATTTTAAATACCGATCGCAATATATCGAATTTGCACAGTATGCACAATGCATATGCAGTAATACTGCACAAATGTGCAAAAATACAATATTCCTACAAGATATAACGAAAGAAAGTAGCGAGCATAGTAAGAAAAATAATATTAAAAATGTTGGCGTCCTCTTGCTGAAAATCCTAACTAAAAATTAGAGACAGCTAAGGGGCTGGAGCGACTTTACTTTTCAATTGACTTGATAAAAATTCGTGTCAAGGATGAAGCATATATTAAAAAATAAAAAGAGAAAAGGAGAAATGTTTGCGGGATAACCGTATTTCAATAAAAATACGAGTAATTTCGATATTAAAGAAATCTAATCTAATAATTTTACAACTTTTTAAATTTCTATTTAGAATAGACATTCGAAATTTCTTGAATCGAAATTCTAATACGCGACGTACAAGAAAACCCTAGCCTGATCCAATAAATATATTACAGAAACATATATTGCACGAGTGCTATTGTATATTAGTACATTAGCACTTATGATTACTATGCTCGCTACGAAAATAATAAAATACAACCCCAGTCACCCGTGCCGTTTTGGACCATTCGTCCTACATGATGGACATGAGAACTCGTAAACACGCGACTTACCGATCATTCGACTCTTCTCCATATGAAAGCAGTCCTGGACTGACTGTCGTCTTGGTCCTGGGATCAGCGTCACTGTATTCTACCCTTGCCACGTGGTCAATGCAAAGATGTCAACATTGGTTACAATTACTATTTCTTTTCTTGGAACTTATTGCAAATACATTCACGATGTTGCGGACGCGTCCGAACTTGTTTCGACCGGTATGGAGAAAAAATATCGCACATGAAACGATTTAGGCGAAGTACGGTTATAATTTAATTGTGATACTAATGAAATAAAAAAAATTAAACATGGAATATTCATTTCATTATTAAATAGTTAATTAGAGATAAAAAATGAATGAAATAATGAAATGAATAATTAAATATTAAAGTAAATAAATTAAGCAAATAAATTGTTAAATGTTAAATATAAGTAAATAAATTAAATAAATTATTAAAAAAGAGAAAAATAAATAAACAAATAATAAAATAAATAATTTAATGAATTATTAAAAGTTAAACATAAATAAATAAATTAAATCAATTATTATAAGAGAAAAATAGAAAAATAAGTTAATTTAGGCGGTTCGAGTTTCGATGTACACCACTTTATGACGGCCGAGGAGGAATTAACGTGTCCTGTGACCGCCAACTGCCTATATGAACCGACCGGTACCCTTGCCCGAGATCAAACGTAAATTTACGAACTTGTCGATTTGCCAAAGATTCGTAAAGCCGTTATAATAGTTATTACATAGTTTATTGCAAATATATGCTTTATATAATTTGCAATAACAATATGTACAGTAATTTACATATGTACAATTATTTTTTCATACAGGAAAGCCATTTACTTGCTCGTAACAATAGTTTTTAACATAGAAATTTTTAAAACAACTTTTGCTGGAGGACTGTTTAGTCATCTGTAGATATTGACCTATGTGCATAAGAGAAACTCCAGACCGGCTAACTTTCCCTTTTTATCCCTTACTCATCCTTATCGCCCTATTGCTCACTCAAACTCCGACCTTCCCTGCATCATCCTTTCTTAACCTTCGATCTGTGGACAACCCCCTCTTATTTCCTAATTCACATTACACTCAAGTTCGTCTGTTGGTTGTAACAAAAATAAAGATATATTTGGAATACAACACTTTTTAAAGTTAAAAAAAGGGAATAATAGCTAAAATTGATATTAAGCAAGGGGATTCCCTATGCGCCTCATCACTCATCAGCCATCCTAAAATAAGGTAAAATTCGCGTTTATAACAAATTCTATAAATTTAGAAACTTAATTTTCTATATTAGAATAATGCTACCTTACGTTTATAATCGTGCGTTTATACAATTCTTTAAAAGTGTGTACAATCAAGGAGTCGATAATGCTTATGTATTAAATTATGTAACTATATATATACATATATAGCCTTAAAAACGAGTGGAAGTCTATGAATGCGTCTGAGTGTTTAGGATACATGACCGACCGATTGAGAATGAGGGTACAAGGGCGCGGGCGAGACAGTCTCTAGCGATCTTTTAACAATCTTCAAAAGGTCTTGAAGAATTTCTAAGATACCCGTAGCGGATCTCTCTAGTTTCGTAGCCGTTAATATAAGTATAAGCTTATTGTATTTTACGAAGAAGTAAAGCAACACTATTTTAGCCTATCC